GATCTAGCGTCCTCGCTAACACACTGCTCAGTATCTGGCTTTGATATCATTTGTAACCATATAAACCCATAGTTAGTACAAAATTGTCAATTTTGACCCGTTACATATCTCCATCAGCCTCACAATTTTAAAACACGTCTACTAAAAAGAAGTTTCTACACTCTTATAAGAAACGCTTCGTTCTCTCAATTATCTGATCCGGTGGTTGAGCTTAGAAAGTGTGGGTTTGGTGGTCAGTGAGATATGGAACATCGTACTACCCCACAGCTTTCACCCCCAAACTAAATAAAAACCCAATCTTTCCACTTTCTTTTAACTCATTCCCACTCCCATTTCTCCTCAATCTTCTTCAATGCCGTCGGAATCAGCCAATCCTAACAGAACCAACCGCCCCCAACACACCATGCCCTTCCCTCCCCCGCCCCAATCCGACCCACGCCCCTGCCCACGCTGCGACTCACTCAACACCAAATTCTGCTACTACAACAACTACAACCTCTCTCAGCCCCGCCACTTCTGCAAGTCCTGCCGCCGCTACTGGACCCACGGCGGCACCCTCCGCGACGTTCCTGTCGGCGGCGGCTCACGCAAAAACTCCAAACGCTCACGTTATCACAACGCCCCCTCCTCTGCTTCCTCCTCTTCCTCCTCTGTTTCTCTTCTTCCTCCCACCGCCGCCGTCACTAACGACATTAACGTCAATCTCAACGACACCATGTCCGGTCCTGCCACTTTCACATCTCTCTTGAGCTCCCAAGGATCCGGGTTTTTGGCTCTTGGTGGATACGGGTCTGGATCCGGGTCGGCTCATGCCCCTGCAGCTTTTGACGAAATGGGGTTCGGCTTAGGCAGGGGATTATGGGATACCGCTTGTACTTACACTGAAGTTGGGGATCTCGTCGGAGCTCCGGAGACGTCGTCGTCTGGATACAACACGTGGCAGATGAATGACACGAATGGCGACGGCGCTGGCGGCGGAGTTGTCGACGGCGATTTGCTGAATTGGCCGGACCTTGCCATTTCCATGCAAGGCAAGAGCTTGAAGTAATCTAATAATAATACACACAAAAACACCCTCTCAATGCTTTCCTTCATTTTTTTTTAATGGCTTTCTGAATCTTTCCTTCTGAGTTGTTTTCTGAATCTCTCCGACACAAATTCGACAAAGAAAACCAAAAAAAAAGAACAAAAATTAATGTTTCATGGGAGATTTCCCTTTGTCTCTGTTTATACAAATCGTGTTATTTTCTTGGTCTCTTCCATTATCAAAACCCATATGAATCTGAAAGAAAGAACAGAGCATTAGAATGATGCTCTGTTATGCTCTGTTTCTGATACGTTAGAACAGTTTTATAAACTATTACTGGTCTCTCTAATGGCTCCAAGAACATGGGATCCTAGGATTATCCGAAATATGAATTAATTAATTGATCCAAATCTCAACTTACAGGTTAGATTCATATAAAAATGTAACATTTTTCATGTGGGTTTGAGCTGAAAGAACTGAGAATCCCAATGAAAACAGAGCCCGTTACAACAAATGAAAGAAACCCATTTGGTTTTGTATTTTGGATTAAAGAACAAACCGTCCTCTGAAAACTGAGCCATTTGATTGACTGGACTGACAAGACGAGCCGAACTACGATGGAACAGGCGGTTCCCCCTTCTTGTTTGACTTTGACTTTGACTTCAACGAGGAGAGAGAGAGAGAGAGAGAGAGAGAGAGAGAAGGGGGCAGGGGGAGACCGAACGTGTTATTGAGAATGATTGGGAAGGGGGCTTTGGGAGGCAACGGGAACGGAAATAGCGGCAGGGTTTTGATGTCTATTGATTGCTTTCTATGGCGTTTGCCTAGACAAATGAGAGCAGCGGCCCCAAGCTTAGCGGTGTGGGCGCGCCCTCGTGCATTGGCGTCGAGTTCTTATGATCTTCTACTTCCCCCACTAACCCTACATTCATTATCTATGATGATTGTTTATGCACACCCATTGAATCAATCCCTAGGTGTTTTATCCAACATTATAGCCTTTATTTATATATACATATATATTTTGTAACGGTCAGATCCACTGCTAGCATATATTGTCCTCTTTCAATTTTCTCTTTCAGACTTCTCCTCAAGGGTTTAAAACGCGTTTACTAGAGAAGGTTTTCATACCTTTATAAATTGTAGTTTGTTCTCCTCCCCAACCAATGTGGGACATCACAATCCACCTGTTTTCATACCCTTATAAATGGTAGTTTGTTATTCTCCCCAACCAACGTGGGACATCACAATCCACCCCCTTCGGAGCCTAGTGTCCTTACTGGCACACCGCAGCGTGAAGGCTGGCACATCGTCCGGCGTCTAGCTCTGATACCATTTGTAACGGCCCAGATCCACCGCTAGCAGATATTGTCTTCTTTGGGCTTTTCGTTTTGGGCTTCCCCTCAAAGCTTTGAAACGCGTCTGTTAGAAAGGTTTCCATACCTTATAAACGGTGGTTTGTTCTCCTCTCTAACGAATGTGTGGCATCACACACATATATATAGTAAGAGAAATTTATTTTAGTATTTATACTTTCTTATGAGCGTTAACAATGTTGTTTTACTTGAAAGGTTCAGATTCTCGTGCCTTAACATTTGTTGTAATAGCCCAAACCTGCTTGTTCTCTTTGGACTTTTCATTTTGGATTTTTCTTAAAGTTTTTAAAACGTGTTTCTATAGAGGTTTCCATATCCTTGTAAAGAATGCATTTGTTCCTCTCTCCAACCAATGTGGGATCTCACCGTCCACCCCTTTAGAGGCACAATGTCCTCGTTGGCACACCGTTCGGTGCCTGACTTTGATATCATTTGTAAGAGTCTGAGACAACTGCTAGCAAATATTGTCCGTTTTAATTCATTATCACTATTAGCCTCGCAGTTTTAAAATGGGTTTTAAAAATCTTGAAGGGAATGCCCAAAGAGTACAATATCTACTCGTGGTGGGCTGAGCTGTTACAAATGGTATTAGAGCTAGACACCGGGCGGTGTGCAAATGAGGATGTTGTGCCCCGAAGGGGGTGGACACGGGGCAATGTGCTAGCGAGGACGTTGGGGCCCGAAGGGGGTGGATTATGAGATCACACATCAGTTAGAGAAGGAAACGACGAAGATGCTAGACACAACGTAAAAAAAAGTTTAAAGAAAAAAAAACAAAATTTTATCTTATTAGACATAAAATTTAAAGTTCAACGAACTCTTTGACATGGTAAATGATTGTGTCTTCAACACTATAGCTATGGTGGGATTAGTTGTTGGATGATCGTTGAATGATGTTTTGCTCGATTAGGCGAATGCGAGTGATGGATATGCCTTTTCTATTTTCTAATAGGCAAACTCGTGAAGAGTTCAAGAAGAAATAAACGGTGAAACCCCCATTGAAAACTATTAGTCGAGTGTGTCATTCAGTTTCATATTCTCTTACCGATATTCCAGGTGTAGATACCTATCTAAAACCAATTCATCGCAATAGCTATAAACGATTCTATTAGAGATCGAAATTCATATCCTCGTCCTGGGTTCTCCCATTATAGTAGAAATTGCACAAACACGACAGGTATCGTTCAAAATCCACTTTAGTTGATGTGTCATAATCTATGTAATCGATGAATATGTTGTCATTGTGAACCAGACACATTATAACTCGTAAATATATGGATAAAATGTAGTTTATATAATTTGACCGAACACACTGATAATATAAATGCTCATAAATTTTCTAAAGCTTTAATCATATTAGTACCCCTAAAAAAAAGTTTCTAAATTAAAAAAATATAAGGATAGATTATTAAATTAAATTAACAATAAAAATGATTAGTTTATCCCTGTCGTGGGTATCCTTGAAGAGGCAGAGGTACCACTCTAACTTGCCTAATATAATCTTTCTATTTTTATTTGGCTCAGATCAATCCGAAGGTTTTATCCACGAACCCGAAATCGAACCGATTCAGTTCGAGTTCAGAAAAATGAACCCAATCCTATATGAAATGTTAATCCAATTCAACCCAACTCTTATAGTTCGGGTTGAGTTGGTCCGGGTTGTCGGGTTGAATGTACACCCCTAATGCCAGTTCTTAGAAAATTTTATGAAAATGAAAAAAAAAAATTTAATTTAAACAAAACAGAAATAATAAGAAATTATATAATTATAATTATGGCGTTGAATTTATACAACTTCGATTTTCTCTCCATAAATAATAAGCATTTAAAAATATTTATTTATTGTTTTTATAGGTTTTTTAAAATTATATAATGATTTAAAATACTAAGGAAATGGGCAAGAAAGACAGGTTCGTCGCTAAAATCGCTGACGTACGCGCTTCCGTCACTCCCTTTTCTCTCTCTTAAGCCATAGCTGAGCTGGACAAAAAGTCAACCCACGTGGTTCTCCAATTTATCATAATAAATAATATTAGGATAAATTAGTTATTATTATTATTATTTTGCCATTAGAATTGTGTATTAAAATAAAATAAAAAAAGATAAAATCATTTATTGCGAGTTGTTGAATGTGTGTTTTAGGATAAAAATATTTCCAATTAATTTTTTTTATTTACAAAATTTTTAAAAATTCAAATATCAATGTTAATATTCATAATAATTTTAAAACTAGAACAGGATTATCTTAATTTTTGAGTTGACTGAGTTGACCCGACAAAAAAATGTCAAACTTTCGATTGATCCAAAACTTTTATTTTCCTGACATTCAACCTTAACCGAAAACAGAATATATATATATATATATATATATATAGATATAATCCAATAGGATAGAAATTAAAATTTAGTGAAATGGATAGAATTTAACCTTTATTTTATTATTCATACCATTTTTCATGATTCAAGGGCTTTTTCGTAATTTCACAGGCGAATACGGCCAACGTGTCTAGTCAAAAAGTCAAAAAGTCAAAAAGGGCAATCCATTTCATCTTCTCGTCGTCTTCCTCCGGCTGCGGTGGAAGTTTCTTCTTCATATATATCAATTTATTCATTTTTCCTGCTTGGGTTCCTCGTGTTTTTCCTCTCTGTTTCCTCTCTCTGATTCTCTTGTGGAAACCGAGCTCCCCCTCTTCTCAGATTCCTCTCGTTGACTTCCCCAAAACCCTATCTCCAGTCGTCAATCGCCGATCGATTCTTTGATTTTCAACCACTGGCTTCAATCCCCTCCGATCTGTAGTTTCCGGCTTCAATTTCCCACTTCGGACGCCGATTCTCTGCTTTCCGAAGAAGAAATGGAGTTTCTCGATCACTAGGTTGTTGCGATTATTCTTATCTTGTCTCTGCAACAAACCTGCTTCAAATCCTAATCCACCTACTGAAATTTGCGATCATGGCTATTCGAGTTACCCTCTCCTACTCCGGCTATGTTGCCCAAAACCTAGCTTCCTCCACCGGCCTTCGGGCCGGTAACTGCCGCGTTTTTCAGGAGTGTTGGGTCCGATCTTGTATTTTTGGCTCAAGCCATAATCCGGACCTCAAATCTGCTGGAAGCGCGCGCAATTATCGGTCTGATAGCCGGCGGTTTAAGCCGAGTTGTTCTTCTATGTACAGCGCTCTCCCGGGAGAAATGGTTGGGGAAAACCCTAAGAGTCCAATGATTTTGGGTTTGATTTCGATGCTGAAATCGATGGCGTCTGCTTCTGAATCTTCCCCGATCCCCACGGGGATTTTGGGGGTTTCTTCATTTAAAGCCACTTCGATTATACCCTTTCTACGAGGCTCGAATTGGCTTCCGGGTTACGATATACGATCTCATGTAAGCGATGATGTGGATAAAGGCGGAACAGTTTGTTGTGATTATGATGAAAGTGGGAGTGATGAGTTTTATGAGAGTGATTTTGAGAAGAGCAGCTGGGTTTCGCGCTTGTTGAATACCTATTCCGATGATGCAAAGGCTCTGTTTACGGCTTTGACTGTTAGTGTGCTCTTTAAATCGTTCTTGGCGGAGCCGAAATCGATTCCTTCTTCTTCCATGTATCCTACTCTGGAAGCAGGGGATCGTGTTTTAGCTGAAAAGGTGACCCTTAGTTCATATAATTGATATCTCTGAATTGAATTGTTGACAATCTTCATATTTGTTGACTGTTTTTACAGTTCTTCACTGATATCTGTTTCTTTTCCTCCTGATATTAGGTTTCATACTTTTTCAGGAAACCTGAAGTTTCTGATATAGTGATCTTCAAACCTCCTAAGATCTTGCAGGTATTGATTCCTTTGATTAATGAGATTCTTTTAAGGAAATTTTCTATTTAGAACTGTTGAATGCTGATTTGTTCTTGCATATTTTTTGCACCCCATTTAGGAATTTGGAGTTAGTTCGAGTGAGGTGTTTATTAAGAGAGTTGTGGCTACGTCTGGGGACGTGGTGGAAGTAAGTGTTCTTCAAACTTGTAACATCATTTCTTTAGTATGCAATAATTTTGTGATATGTTCATTTTTCAAAAAGATAGTTCAATTCTTTGCTTTGTTCTCTGATTCATATTGGTTAGCAAATGAGTAAATAACTTGTTCGCTTGAATATCGAGTAACATCAAAGGCTATGTGATAAGGAATCAACCCAAATAAAAACTTTGATACCAAATAATAAGGAATCACTACGAGGGAAGTAAGATTTTGTTACCTTGTTGAGCGAATATCTAAAAGCAAGAACACTTATTTGAGATTTGAATCACCCCACAAGCAAGATTGATTATGTCCCGCTTGAATGATTCTAAACATGCAACCTAAACTACGTAGAATTGCAAAGAAACTTAGCCTTTGGCTAAAGGAAAAAAAGGTAAGAACACTTGGCCCTACTGATAAAGATTCACTCCAAGGAAAAGTAAAATTCGAAGTATCTTGTTGATCAAATATCTCAAGGCAAGAACATTTGATTGAGATTCGAATACTCCACAAGCAAGATTGATCATGTCAAGCTTGAATGATTCTAAACATGCAATCTAAACTACGTTGAATTGCAAAGAAACTTAGCCTTTAGCTAAAAGAAAGCAAAAACGCTCTTTTTAGTGCATTCTCCAAGTCTCTTTACAAAGATAACATACATGGATTATATGGCCTCAAAATAAAAACCCTTTTAACATTCCATACTTTATGATCATAATTAATGGTTGTAAGTCAAATATCTTCAATGCTGGAGATGAATGGAGAACCGAATATAGTTACGATATTAGATAGTTCTCGACACTAATCGTTAGTAAACGATAGGATTTTCAAATCTTTGGTAGTTGCTAACACTCGACATTTATTAGTATCCCATCGGCTCATTTGGTGATTTAGATGCTGACCTCTAGTCCTATTGTATTAGTATTTAACATTATGACTTTGACATTAATTATTCGATGCAATGTCGTATGGTAGGTTCGGAACGGGAAATTGGTGGTAAACGGTGTTGTTGAAGATGAGGACTTCATCTTAGAGCCAATTGCTTATGAGATGGATCCAATGGTAATTGTCTTTCCATCTCAACCCTCCCTCTCTCTTTCGAATTCTGATCAATGGGAGAAATAAACAGTTTTGCTCGTTTTCTTCTGCAGCTTGTGCCTGAAGGTTATGTGTATGTAATGGGAGACAACCGTAACAATAGTTGTGATTCTCACAACTGGTAAGTTCACCATCTGAGTTCTATATTGCTTTATAATTTGAAACCCAAGGTAGAACTGTCAGCCACATAGGCACGTCGTGCTTTACAATTGTCGTAATGCTTTCGTGAGTAGATGAAAACCGGGTGATGAAGATCGAATACTAGCAACGATAGCCACCATTGTTTCTGATATTATGGTATACCTGTTTCTTTTTATTCTCCAGGGGTCCGCTCCCGGTTGAAAATATCGTAGGAAGATCATTATTCAAGTACTGGCCTCCCCCCAAAGGATCCAGTATGGTAGATGAACCACATGCAAAGAACATTAATCTGGGGATGTCCTGACACCGTCCCGGTATTACCTTACCTTATCATACCCTTAACACGGATCAAACTGGCCTATTTCGGTCCCGATTCCTGCAACATCTTTGCACATAAAACTTGGATTGGACTTCATGTCCACATGGTGTGTATTAATGGAAGTAACTCCTATCCCTTGTGATAGCTGTATCCTATGCTATTCTTAATCCAAAATGGGATTGAAGAAAAAAAAAATGGAAAAAAGAAAAGAAATGGATGGAATAAAAAGAGTTAGAAGGGAATTGATCTCTAGGCCCCTAAATTGGTATTGTGGAACCAAAGTTTTCGAATCTTCAAAGGGTTCGAGTGTTCCAGAAAATGTCGAACAGGCCTGGGACGAGCATCGTTCACCTTCAGCTTGCAGCCTCACTCTATTGTTTTGGTCATTGTAGACATCATATATGGCTGAGATGAAAGGACATGGAGTGGCAAATGTATCTATCTTAGCAATGAACAAACTTCATGGTGTGTCTATTTTCTGTGTGTTTTGTGCTGTACTTGCTCAGCTTTAGTCATAGACAAGATTGGATCCTGTAATTCTAGACAAGATTGTATCTGTGGATTTGAATTCAGAGATTTCAGATAATTGGTATTTTCTGTTTCGTTAGACGATACGACGGGTCGAATGTTGTCGTTTATAGCAGAATTAGTAGCTTTCGTTATCATTTCGAAGCATTTTGAAGAGAAATATATTGGTTGACATGATTCTTAGGGCCCCTGCACTATGTCAAACCCTTCTTCACCTTGTTTCTGTAGGACCTCCACATTCTTATACCTATACCAAGAAGCACAAACCAAATAAAACCCAAAATTCACCACACTCAACACTGACAGTAACCAGTAGAAGTAGTTCAAATTGTCTCTGTTGAGGTTGTTGCTCGCCAACCACCCTCCGCTCGCCTTGTTCACCACCTCCACCACCACCGTACTCGTGAAGTAACCAAAAGCGATCGAGCACCAAGCGATGGCTGTGCTCAACGACTTCATCTCTGCCGAGCTCTCGGCGTAAAAGAATTCCAGCAGTCCTACCATAGTGAATATATCAGCCATTCCAAATACACAGAACTGAAATGACAACCAAAACACACTCATTGGTAGAGGCTCCTCACTATCCACCATGTTGTGTTGAATCGCGACGTTCTTGCGTCGGGTCTCCACGAACCCAGCAATGGCCATGGATGCTGCAGTGAGTATCAGTCCGAAACCAATCCTTTGGAGGTGGCGAATTCCCGTGGGAATTCCAGTGATTTTACGGGCCAGAGGAACAAAAACTCGCTCGTAAAATGGGATGAAGAAGAACATGAAGAGCAAGGGGATAACGGGGACGGAGGGGCCGGGAATTTTGAATCCTATGAAATTGGAGTCCATAGTTAAGCTTTGTTGAATGGAGAATGTCTGGAGTTGAGCCATGCAGCTAGCCATGAAAATGGTGCTGACTATGATCGGGAGCATTCGAATTAGGATCTTTGTCTCTTCAACCTGTGTCACTGTGCAGAGTCTCCATGGTGTTCTTGTATCATTCCTTATAATTGCTGCTCGTTCTAAGAATCTATAGAATTTCACCATTTTCCTTCGTTAATATATTGAATTCCTAACCATTAGCTGTTTTTAGACAAAGATTTTCAAGGATATCACACCTGAATTGATCGGTTTTCTCAAGGATTTCAATTGGGATATCTGCTTCTTTGTCACGAATCTCATGTAGTTCATCAGCATTATTTGGAAGTGGAAGTTTCCTGTTACGGATTGAAGCTACAATGACCTATGCATCATAAGAAGAAAATTCAACAAACATTCATTACACAATGAATGATGATGATAAAATAAGATTAGGAACGTGTTTGGAATGATTTTAATAGCATTTAAGGAAACCCATATGATAAAATTGAAAATTAACTCAGAAAAATATGAACAATTTGATACATTTAGTTTTTAGTTTATGATTCATTGAAACGTGATGAAAATAGAAGTTTAGAGTATACGACCATACAAGTTTAGAGTAGGGATATAAATGGGTTTGGTTGTAAAAATCTTTTGAATCGAGTCAATTGAGTTGGTGATTCGAGCAATATGACTAAAGTTCATAGGATTGGATAGTAACTCTATTTTCGGTTTGGGTCAACTGATATCACCCTAAACTCAACTGAATTCAACCCAACCACTTGTCACAATCACAATATATAAACTTGGTAGGGGGATCTAAAAAAAATCTAACTCAACCCAACCTTTATGGTTTAAATTAAGTAGTTTAAGTTGATCGAGTTATCGAGTCATATGAACACCCATTATATATAAGATAAAATGGATTTTTAACTATATATTAATGGTCGAGATAACTTCATAATTAAAGTATTGTAAGTCTAAATATTTTATTTTACTTTCCACGAACTCAAATTAAAAATTAAAAATTAAAAATTAATAAAAAAAATAGAGATATTTGAGATTTAAATGGAAGAAAATGAAGATTACCTGTAGAATTCTAAGAATGGGGCTTCCTTTAGGCACATTATTGCGAAAGAAGGACTTGCCGGCGCACACAACAAGAATGGCGGCGAGAACGGCGGCGGTGCACACCACAAACGCCCAGTCCCAGCCCACCTCCGTGTTTATCCACACTATCAATGTCAACCCCACGGTCGACCCTGTGGTCAGGCTGAACAAGAACCAGTTGAAAAAGCTCGACAGTTTCCCCGCCTCCGCCGGATCTCCCTCCTCGAACTGATCCGCTCCCAACGCCGGCAGCGCCACTTTTACCCCACTCGCTCCCAGCGCTATCAGGTAAATTCCCACGTACAGAATCGCCTCCTGCCCGCCGTTCGCCGCCTTGCACTCACTCCCCGCCGCCGCCCCTTTGCACGGCTCTGGCCTTAGCTCCCGGAAATGCGCCTGTGCCGTTAGTAGACAATATCCCTGCACAAATGGCACAAATTAAACAAAGAGGTACAAAAATTTAGTAGAATCTCCTGTTTCTAAGTGTAGCAATTGATATCAATAATGAAAGTGTATATTGACACAAAGTCTCTCAACAAAATTTCTTAAATGTTACTTAACAAAATTTCGTAAATGTTACTCAACAAATATAAAAATGACACTAAAATTAAAAAATTTAAGCTCTTCAACCATCTTAGACAACCCTTTGTACCGGCATAAACGCATTAATGTTGAATCAAGATGGTTCATGTATCAAAATGGAAGATGAATAAAAGTGTCATGAACTAAATGAATGTGAGATAATCAAGTAGACAGAGAGTTATGAACCAAATAAATGATAATATAGCATACTAATTACATGAACCTATTCTTAAAGATGACAACAAAAAATAAATAAATAAATAAAATATTTACCTTTTTTAAGAACAAAAGACAACCGTGAGATCACACATTTGGAACGAGAATGAAACATTTTTATAAGAGTGTGGAAACCCCTCCCTAGCATATGCATTTTAAAAACATTAGAGGGAATCCAGTAGAAAAGTTCAAAGAGGACAATATCTGCTAGCTAGCAGTGGACTTGGGCCGTTACTAATGGTATCAGAGCTAGACACCGAGCGTTGTGCCAGTGAGAAGGCTAAGCCCCGAAGGAGGGTGGACACGAGGCGGTGTGCCAGCAAGGACACTAAGCCCCAAAGGGGTGGATTAGGGGGTCTCACATCGATTGAAAAAGGGAACAAGTGCCAGAGAGAACGCTAGCCTCGAAAGAGGGTGGATTGTGAGATCCCACATCGGTTGGGAAGGAGAACGAAACACCCTTTATAAAGATGTCGAAACCTCTCCATAGCACACGAATTTTAAAAAAGTCGAGAGAAAACACAAAAGAAAAAGCCCAGAAAAGGACAATACACATCAACATCTGTTAGCAGTGGGCTCGATACTAGAATGAGGCACTAACCAGTAACTCAAAGCAAGCGAAGAGGACGCAGGTTTTGAATCGGGAGAGATACGTGTCGGAGACAAAGCCGCCGACGAGCGTGAGAAGGAACGTAGTTCCCATGAAGTTGGTCAAAGTGGTAGCCGATTTTGTCAAGCTGAAGTTCATATACCCATTGAAATATGTCATCAAGCTCAAGGCCAACGCCACAAACGCCATATTTTCCAGTCCTTCAGTCACTGTAATCCCCAAATCAATCAATCAAATAAACCAATTACTCAAATCCATACTCTAAAACCAAAGCATATAAGCACACAGTACCATAAATAAAACCAGCAGCTCTGTTTCCCCCTCGTTTGGGTCCCTTTTTGTCCCCATTTTTAGCACCTAATCCGCACATACCCTGCGTTGAGAGAGCCAAAGCATAAGCCAAGAGACAACAACAAGAACACGAAGAACATGAAGAACATGAAGAAGAACAATTACCATTTGTTTGTTTGATCGGATTGGATTGGTTGGTTGGAATCCACAGGGTTTTTATGGAGTTATATGGGTGTTCTTTTTTATGCATTAAATAACATGGAATGGCGCTGTCGTGGCTGAAAAAGCTAGCAAGCCATGCCAGCCTTGGTCCTCTAAGTGGGGGAGCTCCACTTTTTTTTTTTTTTTTCCTTTTTTTTTTAATGTAAATGTTTTGACTTTTTTTCGATGACTTAATCATCGGAGCCAAGGAAGCTGGAATTGGTCGATGAATATAATCCCTGTTTCCGTTCTTATTTAGTTCATGGAGAGAAAACTATTTCTGCTCTCTCCCTAACGGATATATTTTAAAACCTGGAGAGAAAGCTAAAAAATGACGATATTTGTTAGCGGTCGATTTGTATTGTTATAAATGGTATTAGAGCTAGACACTGGACGGCGTGCCAGCAAGGATACTGGTCACCAAGAGAGGTGGATTCATGGTATCAGAGCTAGACACTGGGTGGCGTGCCAGTGAGGACCCTAGTCACCAAGAGGGGTGGATTGTGAGATCTCACATCGGTTTGAGAGAAAAACGAAACATTACTTATAAAAGGGTGGCAATCTCTCCCTAGCAGAAGCGTTTTAAAAACTTAAGGGGGAGCCCAGAAGAAAAAATCCAGAGTAGACAATATCTGCGAGCAGTGAACTTGGGCTGTTAGAAATCTAACATTCTTCTCGACCCAATTTGAGGCAAGTCCCCTCCAGAAATCCGTCCTAAGTAAAATAGACATTTTTGCTCGGTGCAACCCCTAGTTTTACTCAACTTAACTTCAACGCCTGTTTAAGTTAAAATATCGGAATATCATGTTATTTATATTTTGAGCATATCGAACATCAACCAACGTTCGTGTGCGAGCTATAAGAACGAAAAATGGAAATATTATGCTTTTAAAATCACTTTTAACTAAGAAAGTAAACCACATTGACTTTAGTCAACGTCTATAAGAGAGAAATTATTTTTTTCCAATAAATTTTATTTCTTATAGGTTACATTAAAATCCCAAGAACCCACATTGCAATTAATTAAATTAAAAAAAAAAAAAAAAATCCTCCTTTACATTAATCATATATATTTTTTCTTTAAATTATTAAATAAATGAGTGTGGCCGTACTCCCTCTCCAATAATTCAGGAGCTTTATTAATTAGTTTGATGCAAAGAGTTGACTTTATATTTTAAGTATATAAATTAGCCAATAATTTGTAATTACTTTCAATGATCAATCAGAAGCTCATCCCAAGCTGTTGCAATTATGATAATTATTATTAATATTATAAGTTAATGTACTTATATTTAGGAACATGTGACAGAGTTTTAGGCATATTGTAATTAATAATTAAGGATACATGATCCACTCTCCATGCTATTATTTATTTAGCAAAAGAATTAGACTCGAATAAAGTTGACCATTTTGGGAAGAGATGTGGTGGACATAAATCGTAACAAACTAGCAAACTCTTCGGCTTTAATAGCTTTAGTAGATCGATAAAAATTTAAGAATAACTCAACTAGTTAAGATATATTTTTTAAGAAGTTCGAGATTTTAATTTAAGAATAACTCAACTAATTAAGATATATTTTTTAAGAAGTTTGAGATTTTAATTTTTCGGTTCATATATTGAACTCAAAAGAGAAAAATGAGTTACGAAGAGATATTTTAAGTGACGCAACATAATTTCACAATCAATATCGAAATAAAGCACTAAATAATTTGTTTCTTCTTTTCTTGGTACTTGTAGAATCATGTAACATTCATTCAATAGAAAATTATGAAAATTCTTGTACGTAGTATTGTGTAGTATTAAGGGTTCTCTTGATTATTGGCTTTGGGCTAGACAATAATTCAAGAAGTAGATTCTCATAATCCCCAAATTAAATTAAATTTGACATGGAATCTTACCCCATGCTTGATGCAAAATCGCATAATAGATCGATATGAACATCATGAATTGTTCCGTAATAAAACCTATTGTTGCTGATACTTTCTTCTCGTTCCTTCTTCCATAACCCGAGCTCAAAGTAGGAAGAGATAAGAGGACACTATGGAGAATGTGGTCAAAAATCCATAATAGACTCCGACCACAACGACCGAATTGATTATCTACATGAAATTGAGACTTTCACCCTAAAATTTGATTATCATTTTTACAATTTCTAAGATTTCAAGCAACTTTTGTGGTAAATTGCATTTGAATCATTCAAATCACACCTTGATCAAGTTCAACTACAAAATAACCCAATTTAGAACAACGCTCCGAATCTTACTTCTAAATCTTTGATCTTAAGGAGGTAATCTAGTTCTAGCCGTATCTCTTAGATGATCTAAATTTTGTACAAAGAGGTATTAATTTCCTTTATTCAAAGGTTCTTGCTTCTATAAAACTATCTATCTGAAGATTAGAATCGACTACAGAGAACTTAGCACATCCCAATTTCTAATATAGACAGTTATAGCACAAGAAGTATTCATGCGAAGTAGCTGAAAGTAGAGGGAAGATGAAAAGCCAATAAATACCTCTTACATGTAACTTCAATCTACAGATGATCCATTTGCTTCGTTTGAGCCTTAATCGCTTTGTCGACCTTACACTACGAACATTACATATATACAAACTAATGTTTCGACTTTCCTCCTTCAATGTTCCTATTTGGACTGTGACAATCTATCTATGAAACAGATTTTGGGCTCATTTAAATATTGTTCAAGCAGAAGAAGCAATGAGGAAAGCACACGATACCTCGGCTGCAAGAAGGCTTCTTCAGCTACATAACCACTTGGACATGCTAGAATCAGAACCAAAATGATCATCTTCATCTTTTTTTACCATCTTGGTGTCGAGTAATTCGAGCTGTTTTCCGATCCATGGAGGGTCCGTTGCCCGCAGCCACAGGACCTCGCCAGTACTCTTGTGTTTAAAGTCCGGATGATTCGGATTTGGCTTTTGGTTTCTGTTATCCCACCATTCATGTGGACTGCTGAAGAACACTTGCCACAAATGCAGGCGTTCCCTGCATTTATCCTTACAAGCATACCCTGTAGTACCTAAAAAGAAAAAAGGTGACATAAAGAGTTGGATTTACATTCAAACGAAGATTAATAAAGCATTAAACAATTGTTTCAGAAGAATATTGATAATTACTTCAGAGCCATAGCTGATTGGCTTATCTTGCACAAATCACATACCCCAATCTCACAGGAAAATTATCTATCCCTCTAGACAACCCTTTTACTGAATCTTTTTATCTATTATTTTTATTGTATCTCTCTTAATGTAAATATTTATTTTCTTGTTCAACTATTCCCTTCATTATGAGAAAATTTGGAGACATCCGAAATGATATTTAAATGCAGTAGAAAGGGTCTTGCAGTGCGGAAATCTAGAGTAAAATGCTTCAAACTTACGTATAAGGCGTTCTCTATAGAGTTTTAAGCTTAAGGTGCTGCAAACATAAAGCTTGATTAAGTGAAATACATAATATATGCTTGTAAAAATAGATTCTATAAGCAAAGTTGATTGCCAACTATGAGATTTTTCTTGGGCATAAATTTTCCATTTTAAAAATAATAGATAAATTTTCATTAATTGACAAAGTATAAGGAGAAAAACAAGGTAACGATGGAAAAAAAATTCATGCAAAGTGTATTTAAGTGCTTTAGAGCCTATGTGAGCCCGAGCGAGCTTGGAGAGCCTAGGTGCAATTCTAAGAACAGATAGTGGGAGGACAATATGCTAGGACGATCTTTTGGACAAAAAGAATAGACCAAAGATTTTCATAAGTGATTTCGATAGTTCCACCTTAAGTAGCATAATCACAAGGAGAAATAAGAAGGGAGTTCTCTGCATTCTATCTATCAAGAACCAAATGTATATAGAACACTCTTTTTCCTAAACTTGTCGCCCAAATGAACTTAGTTAATTGCAGAACTGTAACAGCCCAATCCCACCGCTAGCAAATATTATCCTCTTTGAGCTTCCCTTCTGGGTTTCCCCCTCAAGGTTTTAAAACACGTCTATTAGGGAGAAGTTTTCACACCCTTATAAGGAATGTTTCGTTATCCTTTCCAACCGATATGGGACTTTACAGGAACACAATTTGGAACACTTGGAGTTGAGCTTGAAAGTGTACGACTTGCAAGAAAGAAAGAACAAAAAGAAAAGGCCTCACTTCTCCTAGAGTTCCAAACCATTTGTTCTCTCAAAGCCTAACCTAGTACGAGCAAAAGTTTGAGGAAAAAATGATTCCACTCCTCAAGTTCTTTGTCAAAGAGACTTTTCCCCAAACCTATAATCCACCATTGAGCCTCCGTCCTTCAATGTTAGAAATTGCATAAATATTTAGGAAAGAAACACACAGTAAACTGCCATCCACACAAATACTTGCATTGGCAAACAAGAAAAATATTCCTCATTTTATCTTTCAGATGCCATAGGAGGAATGCACCCTCGACATCACGTCAGTTAAATTGACAAGACCCGATTCATGCAACAGACTGAAATGAGTTTCAGCAGAAACAAATTCATTTTTCAACAGTTAAACAGAAGAGAACTTATTTATTTCTATATGTAACAAAAAGATTCCATCAACTGAAAATGCAAAAGGTTCAAAACATACCCTCTTCATGTATCATGCCCAGAGAATCTTGACTTTTTGAGCCTCGAGCATTTTGTCGAATGTGATTCAACTCTGACACAGTTAACTGCAGGGAAAACAAGGAGAAAAAAAATAGATATAAAATTAGTAATCTTCAGTATGATCATGTTGAATATGCATTCCTAGTTAAAAGAAGTGTCACAGAGAAACCTAAATCACAGGGAACTGATAAATTAAATTCCTTTTGGAACCAAATAAGACTTCAGGGAGAAGGGATATACAAAAGTGAGGGGATGGATCTCCTGAACTCCACAGATATTACAGTGAGGACGACTTCCGAATATTACATAAGTTAGACTATGTTTACAGAAGGAATTTATAAGTTGTGGTAGCCTGGAAGCACAAATGAAAAAATGAAATGGATAGCGTGTTCTTGTAGTAAAGAACAGAGACGGAGGACAGCATCTCATCGAAAGAATGAAAACGATGTGGTGCTTCAATCCAAACTGATCTTGAAAATACAAACACATCTTTCGGTTTCCAGATTTTAGTAACAAAATTTACAGTAAATTTTCTGCCAATTTCCTAAATAACTTAATATCCTGTATGTCTATAAAAATACTTGAATGATCAGAAGATCCTCATAGGTTTAAAAGGAAAACAGAAACCCTAACTGGCTAGGATCACAACATAACAGAGTACTGAAAATTTTGACAATGAAAACGTTAAAAAGAACAATATCTTCATGTGAATACTTGAACATCCAACCTCATAAGATAAGAAAGACTTCCCGCACTTATCAGCCTTCTTATAAGACTCTAAAGTACCAGCAACATAAATGAAGTCATTCGGTTTAAGACGTTCAATGTATGATTCAGCCATTTCTTCCCACAGTTTCAGCAAAATCCTGCAAATATGCATGTATAAGGCCATGAACCAATACAGGGGAATTAGGCACATACTGAAGAACAATTTTTTACAACATTATTCAAACCTCTGATAGCCAGAATGATAGCCAAAACTAGATTCCTAGGTAACAACATGAACCAGCACGAAAGAGGTCTAATAGGTTATGAGCAGAAAAGAATGTATAAACAGAGAAAATACAAAACTTATTGGTCCTAGATCATTGAAATGCATCCAACTAAAAAAAGGCCTGCTATATTCACTGTGCTTGAATGTCGATTTAAACAAAACAAAACAAGAACAAATAACACAAAAATAACAAAACAAGAACGTGATGTTCATACAGCGGTTACGAACGGGACTGAATCCAATTTTTTTTATAAAACAAAACATGCAAGAATTTACCTAGAACTGCTGTTAGAATCAGGGGAGACTTTAGCTCGAAGAAATGTCCAAGCATAAACTGTGTCGCCATTCCTGGTATGCACTTTAAGCGGCTGTTCCACCGTACCAACGAACTTAGCCGAGTTCCACTTAAATTTTAGACGATTTCTGTGCACCGAACCTCCGTCACTGGCATCAGTGGCGACGCAGTTCGTCGATTTAGTGCTTACTGACGAAAACGAAGAGAAGAACGCTACCGGCGGCAAAGGCGATACAGTTACTTGTCTAAGAGCAAGTAGATGGCGAAAGGCCCTCATAGCCATCGGACGATTGTGCGGAGGACGTCGACGGCGACCTTGACGGCGATCAGTCCAGTTTTCTCGGCTGAGTTTCCCGGTACTTTCGAAGGAGAACTTGGCGCATTTTTCCGACGAGCACGTTTGCTTTTCCAGTGGACCTTTTAATTATCTCGCGAAAATTAGGGTTTAGAAACTGACCTTTTTTCAAATTAAATTATTTAATAAATTTCTAATAATGTCTTAAAAAATGCAATAATTCAATAAAATATTTGAAAAAAATAAATAAATATGGATTAAAACAATATATGAAAAATGAATATAAAATTATTATTCCAACAAAAAAAAAAATTATAAAATTAGATTCTAATATAATTTTAAATGTAATTATAATTAATGTCATATCGGAATTTATTAATTTTTAAATAAAATTATAATTAATTTAAAGATATTTAAATGGTTAATATTGTGAATTTATATTGTAATTAAATTTATTCGTCTTATTTCTTTTATATTTCGAAATACACTTTAAAATTCCACGTGTACACCACATGTGCTAGCACGTGTCTATTACTATTTGTTTAAGAAGTTTCATTCCTAATGTTATACTTCAAAATTGATGGGAATATAACTTTAAGCAATTTTATTATTGTAAAAATAACACAAAATGACGTGAAATTAGACGTGGGATCTCACTATCCATCTTGTTGAGGTCAACATTTTGCTGTTACAGCGCCAGATGTTTGACTCTGATATCATTTATAACAGTTTAAGCTTACCGCCAATAGATATTGTTCGTTTTAGCCTATTATATATCACCGTCAGCCTCACATTTTTAAACATGTCTAATATGGAGAAGTTCCTGCACCCTTAAGGAATGTTTGGTTTCTCTGTCAAGCTGACTAGGATCTCACCATTAATGAATTATTACTATAAAATTTTGACTTTTTCGATCCAAAAAACCCACAAAAACGCTAATTTTTTATTGTTTATTATTATTATTTTTTGACAAAAGCCTCATCGGGTAAATTTTTCTTGACGAGTATACTTTGTGTTGGAAAAATTACTATTTTTTCAATGTATAGCGTGTCGATTATCTCCATATACCATTTTTTTAAAAAAAAAATTCAAATAAATTAATAATTAATTAGATATTAAATTAAAATTTTAATTATTTATTGAATAAAAAAATTGAAATTTTAAGGAAATACTAAACCATTTTTAAAATCGTAAGGATCAAACAAGTCCAACGACGAAAATTCAACTAATTTAACGATAAATAAATTCAAACTTTTTAAAGGAAAATACAATTTAAAATATGGTAAAGGTCAAATAAAATATAATTATAGAAATTATAAGAAAAAGGGGAAAAAAACAAAAGTCAAAGTCTTTGACTCAATAACTGCGACTCGGCCTTTAATGAAAGAACCCACAGCTGACGTGGCACTTAGTGTGAACACGCGCAAAAGCGCAACGACTTTAACTCTCGTCGCATGTTTGGCGCGTAGACACCACTCGCTAATTTTTTTAGGTAAAGTGTAAAGCACGCGCCATAGTTGACAAAAGAATATAAAATCTTTGCGATTTTCCCCCAACGACTTTTGTATCCCGTCCGTACGCAATTTGGACTTGGTAACATTGACTAATTTTAATTTGGTCCATTAATTTAATAATTTCCAGAATTTTAAATTATTTTTGAAGTCAACGTGTCGTCTTCTGGGAGATGAGAAGATCAGATTGATGTTGGTCGTCTCTCCACCGTCCGATTTCCTTTTTTTTTTTTTTTTTAGGAAAAGAAAATTTCCATTATTGATTATTCAAAACCCATTAACTGGAATTGACATTTAAATAAATAAATAAAGAAAGAAAGAAATAATAAATAATAAATAAAAATTGGGGTTTCCTAAGATAGGTCGAAGGAACATATCCAAACCACCAGAAAATATGGTTAAAGTCGGTTTAAAGAAAAAGCGAAGGAAAAATTTTTAAAAACTTTTTTTTTTTTCCGGGAAAAATAAAAAGGAAAAAAGACGGTGGGAATTTGCGTTTTGCACATGTGGCCTTAACCGGCGGGCGGCGGCGGCGGCGGCGGTGGCTCCGGCCAAGAAACTTCAACCAGCATAACTAGATGCCTTTCTTTCACAAAAGCGCTTCGAATTCTCGGCTTCAACAGAAAGCACCAGATTCTGTTTTCTCCGTTGGTCCACCGGAGCCGCTCGCTCAGCGTCGGCTTACCAGGCAGAGGAAGCTCCGGCATCTTACGGATCGAGATATTCGCTTTGAACAACCTCGATCGTTTCCTGATTCTCCCGATTTATTGTCAAAATCTAAAACAGGTCTTGGAGGTTCCGAACGTTGGTCCTCCATTGCTTTGCCGCAGCCTTTACCTCTGCCAGAGTTCTTTCCGATTCGAAATCCAGAGTCAGGTTCTTGGAGTTCTGGACAAGGTCGCGGTGGATCGCCTTTTGAAACTCCGGTCGGGTGAGTTTTCTCTTGTTTCGACTTGAATTTTGCCCTAAATCTGATGAATTTTTCGTTTAATTTCCTTCGATTTCTATCATATTTTGCCCTAATAATGAGGTTTTGACCTAATTTATTTCTTTTGGTAATTCTGTTCTTGAAACTGTTAGGAAGAGCGCCGATCACGCAACAGCGAAGAGTAGAAGTTCCGGTAACAATCAAAGGCGAATCGCTACAGATTTAGCCTTGGAAGTTGCTAACGGACATACAGGAGGAACCCAACCTGTAAATTTAGGGAAATCGAATTTGATTAAGGATTTTGTTTTTAGTTGTTTGGATCAACATCCAAACAACAAAGCCAGGGGTTCCCCAACTCATCCGAGTGTTGAAAAGGGTAACCACAAAGTGAAACAGAAGATTTCGACGTCGAAGAGTGCACCGACGAGCATCTTTCCGAGTCCTGCCGTTAGCCCGCGAAGATCATGTACAGGAGATCCTTTTGTTTCTGGTTTGACTCGCCATGAACATCAGGAATCTCCTTCCAATAATTCTCCCAAAGTACCATCCCTTAAAACTCCAAATAGTTCTCAACCTTCTCCTCTGCAAAGCCCGGCAGCTCGAAGTTCCGTAAGCAATCCCAGATCTTCTAATGATACGCCATTTCCTCTGCATCATAAGTTACAAAAGAATCATAGTATAGGTCATGTCAATGCCCATCCATTGCCTCTTCCTCCTCCATTAGTAGCCTCGTCACAATCGTCTCCCCAATCTCTTCCATCGAAAGAGAAACCATACATTTCATCTGTGAAAGGTCAATGGCAAAAGGGAAAGCTTATTGGACGTGGTACGTTTGGAAGCGTTTATCTCGCAACAAACAGGTATGAATGTAAACTAAGCTTTTCGCCATTGTTATATTTACTTGTATGAAAGCGTCTATGAAGTCATCCTCATAGTTACTTGCATACATTTTAGCGAGACTGGAGCTTTATGTGCAATGAAAGAAGTTGACCTCATTCCTGATGATCCTAAATGTGCTGAAAGTATAAAGCAACTAGAGCAGGTATTAAGTCATCTACTTTCTTGAATTCTCGTTCAGTCTATATGTATCTGTTGGTAGTTTAGTTAATCCTGAAGATCTGCTGCCCCTTATAGAAAGAATTCTTGGCAAAAGAGGTGCTATGAGCAACCTTCTTCCTTCTTCCTTGTCTATACTATTGTAATAGTCCAAGTCCACCGCTAGCTGATATTTTCCCTTTCGAGCTTCCCTCAAGATTTTAAAACGTGCCCACTATGGAGAGGGTCTAGCCCTACTCCGACCAGTGCCTCGCATCGTCCGATGATGGGCTCTGATACCATTTGTAATGCCCAAGAGGACAATATTTGCTAATGGTGGGCTTGAGCGGTTACAAATAGTATTAGAGTCAAATAACGGGCGGTGTGCCAAAGAGGACACTCGGCCCCCAAGAGGGGTGGATTGTGAGATCCCACATCGATCGAGGAGGGGAATGAAGCATTTTTTATAAGGGTGTGGAAACTTCTCCCTAGTGAATGCCGTTTAAAGCCTTGAGGGGAAGCCCTTGATGGGAGAACCCCAAAAGGACAATATCTGCTAGTCGGCTTGGGCTGTTACAACTATCACGTAGAAACAAGCATACAGCGCTTAATGGCGGGTATGAGGTTTCCAAGTTTGAATTTACTGTGCCGCTGTAAACACGAGGAAGCCGCCCATGGCTGTACACATTACTCTAAAGCTGGATAAATCTTACCTTCATTTGTTGCTCTCTTTGAACTAGAAAGACCAAATCTATGAGTCCCTACTATTCTTCCTTTGATCATATCATTTATACCATCTCGAGCTTGCTTTTTACGGGCTTCGATGCAATAAACATTAGTAGATCGAATAATGAATGAAACGATCGTATGATGTTTAATTTCCAGCCATCTAACTCCGTTCTTGTCTCAGGAAATTAAAGTTCTTAGTCAACTTAAACATCCAAATATTGTACAGTATTATGGAAGTGAAATAGTAAGTGTTCTATCTTATCTTTACGTATCAGGAATTACTTCTACCAGCATTACCAACTCTAAAATTTGGGTTCATTTTTGGAATGTAGATTGGGGATCATTTCTACATATATTTGGAGTATGTTTTTCCTGGGTCAATAAATAAATTTGTCCGCGAACGTTGTGGAACCATTACAGAATCTATCGTTCGCAACTTCACCCGACATATTCTCTCTGGACTCGCTTACTTGCATAGCACAAAAACGATCCACAGGTGCGAGACGAATCCCTCTCTGTAAACAGATAATCTCTGTGATGAGTTTTTTTATTCCCATTGTTGAAGACAAGATGAACTGGCAAAAGAAAGTCATTGGATTCGACATTTGTTGTGCTTTCTGTAGGGATATCAAAGGTGCAAACTTGCTAGTTGATTCATCGGGCGTCGTCAAACTTGCAGATTTCGGGATGGCGAAACATGTGAGTTTTCAAACGCTAGTGAATATTGTTTTCATTGCTTTCAATGTTTTTCCCTCTATAATCACAGTGTAGCCTCGTTTTTACCGTACTTCGGGCATGTTTGGGAGTAATTCTGAAATGGTCAAGACTCGATTACTTTGAAAGGGAGCCAGACAAAGTAATTTTTTGTAACAACCCAGGCCGACCGCTAGCAGATATTGTCCTCTTTGGGCTTTCCCTTTCGGGCTTCCCCTCAAGGCTTTAAAACACATCTGCTAGGGGAAGGTTTCCACACCCTTATAAATAGTGGTTTGTTCTTCTCCCCAACCAATGTGGGACATCACAATCCACCCCCCTTCGGGGTCCAGCGTCCTCGCTGGCACTCTTTCCTTCCTCCAATCAATGTGGGACCGCCCCCAAATCCACCCCCCTTTGGGGCCCAGCGTCCTTACTGGCACACCGCCTCGTGTCTATCCCCATTCAAGGAACAGCGAGAAGGCTGGCACATCGTCCAGTGTCTAGCTTTGATGCCATTTGTAACAATCCAGGCCCACCGCTAGCAGATAGTCCTTTTCGGGCTTTCCCTTTCGGGCTTCCCCTCAAGGCTTTAAAACGCGTCTGCTAGGGAAAGGTTTCCACACTCTTATAAATGGTGGTTTGTTCTCCTTCCCAACCAACGTGGGACATCACATTTTTGGTCATTCCAAAATCACTCCAGAACACGTTCTTCCTTTTCTTATATATAATTTTTTCAACTGCTAATTGCTTATAAACTTTGGTCATTGTCTCCTCTGAAGAATTTTAAACATCTTGGAAGAGATTGAGATGTTCCAGAGGCTTAAACTCGACTGATTTTTTTTCTTTCTCCTACTCAGCTGACAGGGCAGTACGATCTTTCGTTGAAGGGTAGTCCGTATTGGATGGCTCCGGAGGTATGCGTCAAAGTCGACTTTATTTTTGAAACGACACGTTCTCGTTTAACTCTGAATTCATTTTCAGGTCATAAAGGCTGTTATGTTGAAAGATGCCAACCCTGATCATGCTTTGGCAGTTGACATTTGGAGTCTGGGTTGCACCATAATTGAAATGCTGAATGGAAAACCTCCATGGAGTGAGTTTGAAGGGGTGAGTTTCTTAGTTAGTTTTTGTTCTATTTTCTTTAGACAAAATGGAGTCAGCACCTAAATTCGGTCGTTACCGAAACATCATTGAACTAACGATAAATTACGTTTTCGAGTTTCCAGCATCAAGTTATGTTCAAGGTGTTGAATAAAGCCCCTCCTATTCCAGAAAAGCTATCTCCAGAAGGGAAAGATTTCCTCCAGTGTTGCTTCCAAAGGAATCCAGCTGACAGATCAACAGCAACGATGCTCCTTGACCATCCTTTCGTAAGATCCTCAATCGACTCAACCGTTTCAGTCCCGACATCAGCATTTTCAACGATGAACCTCGTGGTTAGTTTTACTTTTAGAACTTTATTTTTTAGTTTTATGCCTAGAAACCTCGTTAATTTTCGCATTCTACGCTCTCTCAGGTATTGAATCCTCAAGATCCTGTTCCTCCCAAAGGAGATCAGGTGCAAAAATCTCCTGGAACGTCGGCTGCAAATGGTTATCTGCCATGTCGTAGGTAGCTATACTAACTCTTGCTCATACACTTATGTGAGATCCCACATTGGTTGGAGAGAGGAACAAAACATTCCTTATAAGGGTGTGGAAACCTCCCCCTAACATACGCGTTTTAAAACCTTGAGGGGAAGCCTGGAAGGGAAAGGCCAAAGAACTGTCCAGGTGGGCTTGGGCTATTACAAATAGTATCAGAGCCGTCCAGGTGATGTGCCAACGAGGACGTGGGGCCTCAAGGAGAGTGGATTGTGAGATCCCACGTCAGTTGGAGAGGGAAACAAAACATTCTTTATAAAAGTATGGAAACCTCTCCCTAGTAGATGCATTTTAAAATCTTGAGAGGAAGCCCAAAAGAAAAAATTCAAAAGGGACAATATCTGTTAGCGGTGGGTTTGGGCTGAAACACGTACTTGTACATATTCTCCTATTTTTTTTTTCTTCTTGTTGTCCATCCATTGTACTTGATGTTGATTCTTGCAAGCTTTCCTTGCAACTAACCTCCGTTCTTAATCGACTCGCAGCCCTTCATCGAACATTCCGAGCAATATTCCTGCCAGTGCCGTTAATAACCATCACTTTTCTATCTCAAGGACTCATAAAAGGGAAGTACCACACCTCTGAACTACAGTTGTGGATATATTTACAGGCAAATCCTAGACCCGAGGAGGCTGGCGACATGAGCTGGGATAGAGTTCATCGTTCCCACGCCTCGTTTTAACAACAAAACTCAATCCTTTTTTCGAACAAACTCTCATAGGTCTTAGAAACCACCAAACTTGAGGCCTTCCATCATTGTTTGAGCAATTCCCCTGACTTACTTTTTGTACTTATAGCAATGGTATCACACTTGAAAGATGATACTAGGAAAAGAGGACATACACACACATTCTTTTTGTACACATTCTATAAGCAGGATTAGATTTGGATCTGTATATAGTTAGGTCGCATTTGCGCTGGCTCGATCGCTCGATCGCTACAATGAAACTCACAGCGCTGGCTCGTTCATTATATCTCAGTAGACTTCAATTTCTCCATTCAGAGAAGATTAAACACCATGTCAAGCTCAACCCATCAGAAAAAACCTCAAGAACATGGAAGATCAAATCTTATGAGCTTGAAGAGAAAGATTAGAAATATGTTCAATCATATGCCAGAGGCTTCACGTGAGACCGTACTGAGCCATTTCAGCCAATGCTACCATGAAACAGATACCCATAAAATTATGCTCTGCTGCACTTGTTGTTGTCTTTGTTTATCTTTCCTCTGCTTAAATTACAGTGACTTTTTTTTTGAAGTTTTGTAAAGTCTGTAGATTCTAAGCTCTGTAAATTGCTCATTTGGGTCATTTGACATATTTGTTTGTTTATTACTCTTCAAACACACAAAAAAAGGCACAATCTGGGAAAGAGATTGGACTTTTTAACACTCCCAAAGATTCCATCTTTTCTCCCCTTTTTCCTTTCTTTTCTTCTCTCTGGGTTCTTATAATTTCCATCAATTTACAGTAAAGTAAGTAAACCAGGCATCTTTTTCGCCGTTGGAGAGTGACTCTGTTTTCTTCACCTCTCTAATGTCACTCCCAATTGACCAACAATCTCCGCCGGCGCCCGGAATGCAGCAACCTTACGGCGGCTCTGTTGGTCCTGTCATTGGAGTGCTCGTCGTCATCATTGTGTTCGCGGTGGTCGCTGTCGTTGTGGGGCGGCTGTGCTCGGGGAGGAGTATAATGGGTTACGGCCATTTTGACTTGGAGAGATGGGCGGAGGTCAAATGCTCGTCTTGTATTGACGGAAGGATTAGGCCGCCGTCGCCGAGGGTTAATGTCTCCACCGGCGCTGGTTCTCTTCCGGCGGCGACAATGTCGGTCCAAACCCAGCAAGATGAACCAGCTTCTCAAAATCCACCTCCCAACGCTTGATTATGAAGATAACCCAAAATTTCTGTGTTTTTTTTTTTTTTTTAATGATTTTTCTTCATCTGTTTCTTTTCCTCTTTCGGTGTCAGAATTGGAATGATTGTTCAAACTCTCTAAATTCTATCGCCATTTCATTTTGCTTTGCTCGATCCAGCTGGCATTTTTAATTTTTAATTTTAATATTAACTGCAATATTATAGAAATTTATCTCATCAAACTTTTTTTTTTTATAAGTCCCATTAGATAATTTAGGAAATAATTTAAAAATGATCGGAGATTTATAAATAGAGAATTTAGGGAATGATTATGGATTTATAACAGAGAAATACATCTTCATTGGTGCGAAGTTTTTTGGAGGTTTCTTTTTTTAGGAGCTTATGCTGAAAGTGGACATAGATTTTCTATAATTCAAATAAATAAAACGGATTTATAAACCGAGAAATACATCTTCATTGGTACGAGATTTTTTGGGGCTAGTGGACATAAATAAATAAAAAGTACTCGAAAAAAGAGGGATGAAGTCAATGTGCCTTAATCGACTCTCGAATTTGTATTATGACACTAATCAACTAGATAATACATATATTATTGACTAAAAGTTCAAACGATCAAATTTTTAGACCAAATTTAGTTGAAAATGGAAGCATACCTTTAGAGGGCAGTTAAGGACAGGCAATGTTGGCAGCGAGCAGCGAGCACATTGAATGCGATAATCACAAGTAACTGTCAGCTGTTATTCAGTCAACATGAATTAATGCTGCTGAAGAATCAAACATTCACCTTCTTCCTTTGGTCCTTTCAGCCATCTCTCTCACCATTCAATTTCTCTACTTCAGCCATCTCTCTCACCATTTAATTTCTCTATCATTGAATTAGAAATTTGGTGGGTGGAATGAGTCACATTTTCATCGCTAGACCGAAGCTAGACCGAATCAACTTGTGACGACTCATGTCTAAAATTTAGAATTCAGATTTGACACCTAATAGTTCCGACATTCTCCCGCAACATGATCATATTACCTACTACTCGCTTCTTAAGAGTGGTGAAGACTATTCCACAAACAAATAGAAGTCATTCTAGCATATTTTATCCTCACTCGCATGCATCCTAAAAAAATTCTTAAGAGGTTACCCGATATATAATTGCTCTTGTGAGCCATTGTAAAGGAAAAGTGCACTTTGTTCATATACCCAACATATAATTGCTCTTGTGATTGAACCAATGTAAAGGAAGTTGCACTTTGTTCATATAGGTAGTGACTTTCGATTCTTTTAAGCCTTGATCACTATATCCTCATGATTGCTCTCATTCAGATGTAGATTCAATTCATTCATGTATCCACCTTTACTCGGGTGTCATATACTTACCAATTCTTGCCTTAGTTTGTCGCGAACCACATCTTATTAGGAAGATGTTTCATTCTAGTACCATTTTTGCAACGACCCATGCTGTCATTACACATTTAGAGAAGTTCAATTTCTAGAATCAAAAACATAAGGCTCACAAGTTATAAATTTTATTTATGAAATGAATTTTACCTTTAGTTATACATTTCCTAATAAAAGATTTGATATAAATATCAAAACTCGAAATATTATTGATAGATCTTTCTTATGTTTGATGTTGATGACATTTTAGTTTTCCACGTACATCTTATATATATTCACAAAACCACTCTCAAACATAAATGAATGATAATGTTGAGAATGGATGTAACGACACAAATCCACCGCTAGCCGATATTGTCTTCTTTGGACTTTCCTTTTCGGGCTTCTCCTCAAGGCTTTAAAATGCGTCTGCTAGAGGAAAGTTTCCACACCTTTATAGAGGGTGTTTTGTTCTCCTTTCCAACCAATGTGGGACATCACAATGTCCAAAGAAGACAATATTTACGAGTGGTGGATCTAGGTCGAGCCAGACATTGGACGATGTGCCAGCCTTTTCGTTGTTCCCCAAATGGGGTAAACACGAGGCGGTGTGCAAGTAAAGACGCTGGCTCCAAAGGGGGTGGATTTGGAGGGGGTCCCACATCGATTGGAGAAAAGAATGGAATGCCAGCGAAGACGCTGGGCCCCGAAGGGGGGGGTGGATTGTGATGTCCCACCTTGGTTAAAAAGGAGAACAAAACACACTTAATATATAAGAGTGTGGAAACCTTCTCCCGAGTAGTTTTAAAGCTTTGAAAGGAAGCTCGAAAGGAAAAGCCCAAAGAGGATAATATCTACTAGCGGTGGAACTGGGTAGTTATAATAGAGCATATAATATTTTATATTATAAGCTCATAAATTAATTAATTCTAGCTTCATGGTTTATATATATATATTATTAAACACAACACAATTCAAACAAAAGCTTAAATTAAAATCCATTTCATACCCGTTTGTTCCAAATGTCTGTTTTCAACATGGTGGCTGCTGCTTATTATCTGATCCAGGGAGTGTTGTCGGGCGCTTCAGTTTGAGAAGATGAGAAAGTCCTGCAATTACATGAAGCCGACTGCTTGGAATACCCGTCTTTGCTAGCGCCTTGCCTTGTTTGTCCAAAATCACGAAGCAAGGAACATAACTAATATCATAATGAAGAAGCTGCATAAACATGTAAGCAAGAACATTACCGACAATGCTAACACAAACCACCCATTCAATCAAACACACCACATATTTCAGTTCATATGATCCTTTTACAAGATAAATATCCATAGAACTATGGAAATGAGATCAACACGAACGATTCTGGGTAAGCTTTGAACACGCAGGGCGATTTGTTGGAAACACGAAAAGGATTTGAAGAGTGATCCCCGGGCAATCATTAAGTTATTAATGAAAATGTAGCAAGGGGATTAACAAATTTGTAACAAACCCAAACTCACCGCTAGCAGATATTGTCGTCTTTGGATTTTAAAACGTATCTGCTAAGGAGAGGCTTCCACAGTCTTATAAGGAATGTTTTGTTCCCCTCTCCAACCGATGTGGGATTTCACAATCCACCCCCCTTGGGGGCCCAACGTCCTCGATGGCACCGTCTGATGTTTGCCTCTGATACCATTTGTAACCGCCCAAACCCACCGCTAGCAGATATTGTCCTCTTTGGGCTTTCCCTTTCAAGCTTCTCCTCAAGGTTTTAAAACACGTCTGCTAAGCAAAGGTTTCCACACCCTTATAAAGAATGTTTCGTTCCCCTCTCTAATCGATGTGGGATCTCACAATCTACCCCTCTTGGGGTCCTCGATGGCACACCACCCGATGTTTGGCTTTGATACCATTTGTAATAATCCAAACTCATTGTTAGTAGATATTGTCCTCTTTTGGCTTTTCCTTTCGAGTTTTCCCCTCAAAGTTTTAAAATGCATCTGCTAAGAAGAAGCTTCCACATCCTTATAAAGAATGTTTCGTTACCCTCTCCAATCGATGTGGGATCTCACAATCCATCCCTCTTGGGGTCCCAACGTCCTCACTAGCACACCGCCCGATATTGGCACTTATACCATATGTAACAGCCCAAACCCACCACTAGCAAATATTGTCCTCTTTAAGCTTTCCCTTTCGAGCTTCCCCTCAATATTTTCAAACAAGTCTACTAGGGAGAGGAATTTTTTACCATATATTAAGCTACGAAAATATGATGTTGTAAGAGGGAAAGTTGAGCACCTCAGGCAGCCATTTATCATTCTCTGCATCGGCCATCACAATGTTAAGCCATTGTGAATTCCTTGCCTCCATCTGCGTAACAAAACCAAGCAATGAACTGCACAGAGGACATTTGGGCGAGTAGAACTCAATGACGGTGGCTTCTTTCCCACTGGCTAACGCTGCTGCAAATGCCCTATTTTCTGCCTCTCCTTGCTCTTCAGGACTTAGCTTTTTTCTAGACTTAGATATCTTATTTCCATCAAACGACAATGGTTTAAAAGCATTGACCCGTGGAGGTGATGACTTTGAAACTTCGTTTAAGAAATTGGCAGCAAAGACACCCACATTTTGCAGTGATTTGAACAGCCAAGGACCCTCAAATAAACAGTCTGAAGGATTTTTAGGGTTCATGTCCCATGGCCATTTGAAGCAAAAGAGAGGCTGTTTCGGTGTCGAACGCATTATTTTCCTCTAAAAATTATCACCAATCCCCTGCAATTGAAACTTCCATTGCTGAAGACATTCAAAGAATTCCAGTTTCTAATAAGAACAAAAAAAGTTAACCTAGATTTTCAATTTAACTAAAACTCAAACTTGAACTGCGAAACTCTGGAACTCGCGATACGTGCGCCATTTTAATGGATTTAAGTTCGCATTTCAACAAGGAATCACCACAGAAATTCGCCGTCGATTTTGCTTTCGAATATCTTGAATCTTAGTTCAAGAGATTCAGTGGATTATTCGGAATTCTAAAACCTAAGTTCTCGAACGTTTTCCTTTCATTCCATTCACGAAAAGACAGTAAAACGAAAGGATTACAGAGAGAAATGAAGGATTCTATTACCTTGTTGTGCTTCTTCCAGAAGCGCGGTGCTCGAAACTTGTGAGTTGCAGATAGCTTGGCCTGAAAGAGAAGGGCGCTACTGCGCAGCAATTTGGCTTGGCTGAATATTATGCCGATGCGCTAAGGAAGAAGACGACGACATTGAGAAGGCTGTGAAAGAAAAGCAGGGCGAGCGGTGGGGCGGATTTGGAGATCGATGGCTTCTCCTTTGCCTTCATTTCTGTCCGTCGTTGAGAAAGGATTGAGTTCGGAATCCGGCGGCGACAGTTTCGTGTTGGGCCAATATTGGGCCTTTCGTGAGTGTTTAAATCTTGTGTGGGCCTTGTGGGGTCCACCCGGTCGCTTCTATGACGATGCAAACGAGGCTCGAGGGCTTGTTAAGGAAGGCGGCAAAGATTGAGAGTAAACCGAAAGGCGTTTTCTGGTCCCCTTGAGTCGAGTGGTACTGGTGTGTGGGAGTGTGGCACGACGAAACAAGGGATACACTAACGTCTTTACTTGAGATCTGAAAATTTAAATGAACGAGAAAATAGAAAAAGAAGTAAATTCCTTTCGAGTTTTGCATTCAGCCTTCTGTTAAGGCCGATCCCACGACTTTTCAGAGAGGTCACACTGTAGCTTCCGGCTTCTCCCACGAACCCTGAAGCACATTTATTGAAAAACAACCCAATTTTCATAGAAGTATCTGATCAATATACGATTAGGTTGTAAATAATCTTATTTGGCTAAGATGGTCATTTCAGAGGTCACACTGCACCTTCCGACTTCGCCCACGAATCCTAAAGCCCATTTATTGGAAACACAACTCAATCTTCACATAAATATCCGATTGATATAGTTTAGACTTAGCTTATATCTCCAAGGTATCGCAACGTTTTGAGGACATTAAGAGTGGTGCGTTGAATATCCACTCGCATCATCAAATCCATTTTTGGGACGTTAATTATCGTTCGACCTGGTTGCACCTTGCTCTATAACACGGCACTGCAGTTCTCGATAAGAGCTATAGTCTCGTACTCTCCTCGACCTCTCTCCTTTGATCCGAGACTTTGCGAGATTTTATATTTTAATCCAATATTCAAAGCGTTTAAAAGAGCGAAGGGGGGATTAATGAGATCTTTTGAGCTAATTAATTAAAAGATTTTACAATCAATTCAGATCAGATATTGTCATTAAATGTTTATTGAAAGCTTATGATACTCAAATATTTAACTGCACCCCTAATTTAGTAATATCTAAAACCACACAAAGCCTAACATTGGGGCCACCAAGCATGTGCCCCCACTGCCTTTATTCCTTCTTAATTATTATATACATTTCTTTTTTCTTATATTTTTTTTAAATTAATAATTAACTCTTAAATTTTCGCATATACCCGACTCTCCACAATTGTATGATATTATTCACTTTAAACATAAGCTCTCGTGACTTTGCTTTGGGCCCAATAGGCCTCGTAACAATGGATATAGTATTATTTCATTATAAACTAATGATCATTCCCTAAATTAGCAGAGGTGGGACTTTCATCTAACCGATGTTAGTTACAAATATTAATGATGCACTCTGTCTTGTAAATATTTGATATTTAATAAGGGTGTTCGTGGGTTGAATTAAGACATTTCTAGACCCAACGAAATGGTTGGAATTGTTAATTTTTTAATTAAAATAAACCGTATTAAATAATGAACCCAACCTAATCCAACTCTAAATTTGTTGGGTTTGATTGCTTTGGGTTTTTCTCAGTCATTTAATCAAATTTTTGTTTCTCAGTCATTTAATTAAAATTTACCGTATATATTTTGAAAATTATTACTATTATTTTTTTAGAGAATAAATAATTATAAAATTAAATAAAAATATGTATATATAAATAAACGTAACTAAATAGGTATATTTTAAGAATCCATCAACCAACACAAATAAATTTATAATCTAAAATAAAGGGTACGTGTTGGGTTGATTTAATCAGATTTTTACCATAATCGAATTTTTCAAACACTCCTGTTATTTAACTTTAACAAAATTTTAGCCGTTAATTTCATGTGTACGGTGAATAAACAGAATTGTTTTTAATAGAAAACAAATGATTTGGTCGATTAAGAAATATCGAGTCATTCCTGCCACAAACCCAACCAATCTAAAAATTAAAATTCTTAAAATTAAAATCTGGAACCCAACTCGTGCAAACAGCATAATATCTTGTCTAATAAATATTTAAACGGGAGTATTTATTTAATAATTATTTTGATAAATTAAATTAAAAAAATATGCAATCCAAACAGAAGGAATCTCTCTACTCCCCCATTTGCCATTTAATAAATATATTTATGGAAATAATAAAGATAGGAAAGTTCGTAACACATTCATTCTATGATTCCATATTGTTTTAAAAATTAATTTCAATATTATAAAATACACACATTTGACAGTTGACGACCTTATCTAATTCCATTCAAACCTGCTTTTTTTTAAAAAAAATAATATTATGCCAAAATAAAAGCAGTTGAAATTAATTATAATATGCCAATACATGCCAGGCTGTAATGCCACGTTGGAATTTAAAATTCTTTTTTTTAATGAATCATTATATTAACAGGAAATTAATTAATACAGCTTTTTCTATGGCCAAAAAAAATTAAAAAAGACAGAGAGGACTTTGGCATATTCGTTAATGAAACTCTTGATTTTCCAAAAACGTCGTCGTCATGTACTCTCTCACCTCCCTTGCTACCACATCCCTCATTGCATCCCAAAACCCCGCCGGAAAACTCTCAATCCGCCGCTCCTCCGCTACAACTCCGCCGCTGATTCCCGGCGGTGCTAGAGTCAACGCAGTCAATGGGTCATCCTCTAACGGGACGGAGAGTTTCAAATCAGAATCAGTCACGGCATTGGCATGATTGTCAGGGGTAATTCCGTCAATTGCTAAATGATGTTGTTGGTGTCTTGCTCTTCGCTTAAGCGTGGAGTTCCAGTGATTCTTAACGGCATTATCGGTCCGGCCTGGAAGTAACCGGGCAATGGTAGCCCACCGGTTCCCGAACCGGGCATGAGCCGCTAAAATCGTCTCATCCTCCGTGGCGGAAAACGGCCGGTGCTCGACGTTTGGACTCAACTGATTACACCACCGGAGACGGCAGGACTTCCCGGAGCGGCCTTTAATGTAACGGCTAATCAAGGACCAGTTTCGGGGTCCATAGCGGTCGACGAGTTGGATGAGAATCCGATCCTCCTCCGCACTCCAGGGGCCTTTGATCTTCTCCGGGCGGCGGGAGGGGTTGCCGGAGAAGGAGGAGTCGGAGGAGGTGGAGGAGGAGGAGGAGGAGGAGGAGGAGGTTGTCATGGTTTGGAGAGAGAAAAGAGGAGTGAGAGAGGGCGGAGGGGGTTGTTTGGGGGATTTATATGGGAGGAGAGAGAAGGTTCATGAATCTGGTTGTGATGCATAATCCAATGGCTTTGAGGTAAAGACTAAAGAGGGAGCTTCCAGGAAACTGGATTCTGTAAAGTAGGTGGGGAGTACGTACTAGATCTATGTACCCTCTTTTCTTTTTATTTTACTTTTTTAATTTATATATATATAATTTCTGTGAGCCAATTTGCCGCAGTGTGATTCTGCATTGTCTGTTTTTGAAATAAATATATATATAATAAATATATATATAGTGGGATTTCTTGGGATATTACATGATATTTTATTCCGTGGGGTTGTAAATTAAATTGATTAATTAATTTGAATTGACTATTATGTGTTTGTATTGAATTTTGGTCTTCTAACCCTTCTTGATCTTTCAAGGGTTGGGATCGATGGAGAATTGTAACATTTCACTGTTAAAATTTCTTATAACGGACGCATTTTAAAACTGGTTTTAAAACTTTGAAAGGAAGCTTGGAATGAAAAATTCAAAATGACAGTATTTGTTAGTGGTCAGCTTGGGCTGTTACAAATGGTATTAGAGCTAGACTCTGTGTGGTGCGTTAGCAAGGATATTGGGTCTCAAGGGGGGTGGATTGTGAGATCTTACATCGATTGGAGCGAGGATCGAAACATTTCTTATTAGGGTGTGGAAAACTCTCCATAGTAGATGTGTTTTAAAACTTTTAGAGAGAAACCCAGATCGAAAAGTCCGGAAAAGGTAATATTTGTTAGCGGTGGACTTGGGTTGTTACGAATTGTCTCAAAGCTAGACATTGTGTTGAGTGCTAGCGAGGATGTTGGGTCCTAAGAAGGTGGATTGCGAGATCCCACATCAATTGGAGATAAGAACGAAACATTATTTATAAGGATATGGAAAACTCTCTCTAGTAGATGCGTTTTAAAACTTTTAGGAGGAAACCTTGAATGGAAAGCTTGGAGAAGATAATATTTGTTAGCGGTGGACATGGGTTGTTGTGAATGGTATCAGAGCCAGACACCGTGTGTGGGCCAGCGAGGAGGAAAGTTCGGAGAAGATAATATTTGTTAGCGGTGGACTTGGGATGTTATGAACGGTATCAGAGTTAGACATCATGTCGTGGGCCAGCGAGGACGTTGTGCTCTAAGGAGGTGGACTGTGAGATCCCACATCGGTTGGAGAGGAAAACGAAACATTCCTTATAAGGGTGTGAAAAACTCTCTCTAGTAGACACGTTTTATCTCGATAGGAAGGCTGAAAGAGAAAGCACAAGAAGAGAATATCGTTTGAACTGTTACTGATATAGTCAGACTCCTTACACATTGGACACAAGTAAAGTCACGTACCTTTATAAGAAGAGTGCTCTCTTTTCTTGACATGAGTGTCACATCTTTGTGATGGAACCTATAGATTTGTAGGATGAGATGGGCATCCACTTTTGTGATCCTCAATCCTCATCTTCGGCTCGATTATTTGACAACTGAAATGTTCTATTGATTTGTCTTAAGGGGTCTAATTCAGCTCGAGCCTATGTACTTTTTTGACTTGGTGGGTCTAGATTTCGTAGTCATTCGTAAGTCAGCCGATAACGTAAAATAAAAGGCATCTAAGGTAACCCTAATTTAAACTACATTTTACATTGAATTTTTTTGAATTCCTTAACTACAAATATAATTCATTAAATTATTCTTGCAAATAAAATATAAAATAAATTTACATAATGGACTTCAAAATGCATAATTACAAAATAAACAAGAATTAAAATAAATAATTTAAGACTTAGAAGGTAGGGATAGGTGAATAGGGGCAATATCGGAAATTGGAAGAAATAATTAAATCTGGTAAGATAAGGAAGATAATAATAAAATCATTCCCCTGGACATGACAGTACACCCAGAGCTGTTTAACACTAAACATTTACGTTTCTAATAACACACACTAAATTTAAGCCTACCATCTTTGACTACTTTCTCACATTTTACAGCTGTAAATTTTACATTTTAACTTCTCTACGTTCACATTTTACAGCAGTAAATTTTTTATTTAATTTTCGGGACCAAAAAATCCCCACAAGAGATGTGCATGAATGGAGTGCCCCATGTAATTTTTTCTCCATTGTTTTTAAAAAAATATTTTTTTACGGAGAAAAAATGCAAAATTATAATTTTTACTGTTAAAAAAAATAAACAGAAATCTAATATAATATAATTTTTTAAAAATTAAATTTATTATAATATATCATTAATAATATTTATAAGAAGTTTTTTATCCCAATTTCATAAATTGTAGGTTTATTAGCCAAAATAAATATTCAAATAAAATTATGGTCAATTTATAGAAAGTTGTGCAATTTAATTGTAAAATAAAAAAATAATAAAAATTAATTTACCATCATTTGTAATATATATATATATATATATATATATAAAAGCGAGATCGTCCCTGACCGTTATTTATCTAATAGAGAGAAATCACTGTCGACTTCCTCCCTCATTCTCTGTCTAAACGTAAATTTTTCACTTCATTCAGAAGCTAATTTTATGGACTCCCGATATAAACCAAGATATCTATCCTCGTTATTGTACTTCAAAAAATAATTAATATATTGTAATAAATAAAATTATTTAGATTTTATTTATTTATTATAATAAATAAAACTTTGTTATTTATTTTATTTTTTTTAAAATAAAATTATTTAGATTTTTTATGCTTAGTGGACTATTTTGTTATTTTATATTCGCCCTGCATTTCGGGAAATTACTGAATTCAATTTTTTTTAACCATAATAATAATGATTAGATTAAAAACATGATTAATTAGATAAAATGAGAATTAAAAAATATATATATATTGCTGGAAATCTTCCACGCCAGATGGACCCACGCCAGGCTGGAAAAGAATCTCACGTGAATCGAGTTGAATCTCTTTGACCTTTCGCACTCCCTTTCGGTGTGGCGTAAATCTTACGTACCACTATCTTCGTTCATTTTTAAGATCGTGTGATTCACGCTCTTACATCGCACGTGCGTAATTCCTCTCTCGTAATTTTTGACGTCCCCGATTACATCAACGGAGCAACCCACGTGGCAATTCTTGCAGTCCACTGGAGCGCGATTTGAGTTGTGCAAGGCAGTTGAGCCGTTAACACAATATAAAATAATATAATCCAGCTGGCAACTCACTGTAGCACACCGACTTTCAGTGTTCCCTCTAAACTTGCCTTTTCTGACGTGGAATTTTATATTTCATGAAGACTTTATATATTATTAATTTCTTTTGTTCAGTATTAATTGACAAACATTTGACCTACCCTATAAAGTTAAATATTTATTTAAATTTTTTTTATTTATAATCTTTTTTGTGATATAATTAATAATAATTTTTTGCAAAATTTATTTTAAACCTTTATAAATTATTTATTTATTTGAAAATATATACATATATTATATTTAAATATACCGAACTTTTATTCACAAAATTAAGATAATTTCCAGCCATTACAATTATAAAATACTATATATTTTTTTCTTTTTTTTTATTTATTGTTATTAATATATATATATATATATATATTTATTGTGAACATTATAAAACTTTATCTTTACCCGAATTTCTCGCCATTTTCTGGATAAAATAATATAATATATGTCAGAAATCACGACTCTCTAGAGTATAATATTGTCCACTTTGAGCATAACCTCTCATGCTTTTACTTTGGGCTTTTTCAAAAGGTCTTATACTAATAGAGATAGTATTCCTCACTTATAAACACGTTATCATTCTCTAAATCAGCCAAACTCACTCCTAATAATTCTAATAAATAAATAAATAAATAAATATATATATTAAAAAATGTTTGCTTATAAATGAGTCTTTAAATTTCCACAAAATTATAAATAATAGAATATAATATTTTAAATATTTTTAATTTACACTATATTTACAAAAGAAACAAAAAATACTATTATTCGCAATATTTTTAAAAGCACATATTTAAATTGCATATAATGTAAAATTTATAAATACATATGAATATATAAAGAAAAGACCAAAAATTATACAGATCATAATGAATGTGTCGGACATAAATAAACAATACGATGTGAATAAAATTTCCTGTCTGCTACATATCAATTACATGTTTTTTTTTTATTGTAAAATTGATTCTTACTTCCTAATAAAAATTTACAAGGTTTAAGATTGAGGGTAATTTTTCTTTTTACCTCAGTTAAATAATATAATATAATTATTGAAAAATAAGCGGTAACCCTATTTTTTAAATTTAAATCTCTCAACACTAAAAATAAATATATATATATATATATATATATAAATGATATTTTAAATAGACGTACCAATAGTTGATATACGATAGAAAATTTTGTTATATTTGTAAATGACGTGACAATTAATTTTATCGTCAATTTAATGGGCTTCCCCTCAATGACACTCGTTCCTTTTTCCAATCCATGCAATCCACCTCCTTTGGGGAACAATAAGAAGGCTGACGCATTGTCCGGTGCCTGATTTTGATACCATTTGTAACGCCTCAAGCCCACCGCTAACCGATATTGTCCTATTTGGGCTTTCCCTTTTGGGGGTATCGTCTGGTGTCTGGCTCTGATACCATTTGTAACGGCTCAAGCCCACCACTAGCAGATATTGTCCAAGTTTAGACTTTCCCTTTTAGGACGTAAGCCTTTCTTCATTTGGACTTCGCCCTTAACTTTAAGGCTATGTCATCTTAAGGTGCTACTAAACGGAAGGATCTTATCAACGTCCATGAATGAGAGGATTATTGGGAGGGAGTCTTACATTGGTTAATTCAGTGGAAGATCATGGGTTTATAAGGGGGAGAATACTATCTCTATTGAGATGAGGCGTTCTTGGAAGCCCAAAGCAAATCCATAAGAGCTTATACTGAAAGTGGACAATATCATACCATTGCGGAGAGTCGTGTTCTCCTACCTATATTTTAAAGATTAAAAATTATATATATTTATTTGGGGGCACGGTTAATAAATAATTGGTTTGGTAAAGATTGAACAAGAAGAAAGAAAGGCGGTGGATATGTAGGAAGGGGGAGGGACCAGCGTGTCCCCCTCCAACCCAATCCACGGTCGGCGCGGCCCTTCCCGGCACGGAGGGATGGCGGGGTTTTTCATTTTGTCCTTATCTTCTCCACGTCAAACATTTAGTTAAATGGTTGTTATAAAACTTTATTTTCTTTATTATTTTTTTATTTTTTTAAATTAAATACTTTTGTAGGCTTAAAATCCAAATAAGAAAAAATAAATATTAATATTAAATAGTTTATATCATGTATTTAATTATATTAATACTCTAAAGTATTATATATATATATTTTAAATCCACCCATATAAAAATAAATATTTACGTCTTTAAAAATACTCTTAAACTTTTGAGAGTTTCAATATTATGTGTTTTTTTTTTAAATCTCAAAAATCTTTTTACCATTATACTCAAAACATACGTATGAGTAATATTAACCTTATTTACGTTTTTTTTTTAAATTCTTATCATCAAAATGAAAATTATCTAACGACCTTTTGTAAATTAATTTCAAATTTTTTAATGTTATTTTTTAAAGTTTATGAGTATTTTTTAAATATATACGGTAAAAATATTCAATATATATATATATATATGTTTTGAAATTTTTTAAAACGTGTTTTTAAAATTAAATATTAATTGTCTGGAAGAGTATTTTTGAATTTTTTTTTAGAGCTTACACAGTATTTTAAGAATATTATTGAAACTTTTACAAATTTGGAGTTAATGATTGCCATAAAATACAACGTTCAATAATATTTTTATTAATTTAGCCAACGATTTATACGTTTAAATCATAAATGAATTTGTTTGAAAAAATACGTCACGAACAATTATTATAATCGACAAAAAACTATTTATGAGAATTTTAACTTGTTCGATAGTACTAAAAATTTGGTTGAGAGGAAGACTCGTGAGTTTTGGGCACGTCTCGAGGGTCGGTGTTGGGTTAGTTGCTTTACGTACATTTTTCACTTTTTGGACGGGCTTGACTTTTGGGGCATTTTAATTAAGTCGCTCGCATGCAATAAAAATGGATAACGCCACATTCGTTTTTTTTTTTTTTTCTTTTTATTATTATTATTATGGTTATTACTTTTTAGAATTATTTATTAGTTAATTAAAAAAAATGCCTTGTGAGTAAAGTCAGCAATCCAATCATTATTCGGATTGATTAAAATTAAGTTAAAATAATTTTGCAAATAGGGGAAAATAAAGTGTCTTTTTTTTTTAAACTTCAAATAAAAGGTATTTTTATGTGAGGTCGCAAGTTGGTTAGAGAGAAGAACAAAACACAATTTATAAGGGTGTAAACCTTTTCTTAGCAGATGCGTTTTAAAGCTTTGATGGGGAGCTTGGAAGGGAAAGCCCAAAAGTAGACAATATTCGCTAGCGGTGGATCTGGGCCATTACAAATGGTATAAGAGCCAGATATCAGACGATGTGTCAACCTTTTCGCTGTTCTTCGAAGGGGGTAGATACGAGACGAGGTGATGTGCTAGTATGGACGCTGGCCCCAAAGGGGGGTGGATTTGAAGGGGGATATCAGACGATGTGTCAACCTTCTTGCTGTTCCCCGAAGGGGGTAGACGCGAGGCGAGGTGATGTGCCAGTAAGAACGCTGGCCCCAAAAGGGGGTCTCACATTGATTGGAGAAAGGAACGAGTGCCAGCTTCGTTGGCCCCGAAGAAGGGTGGATTGTGATCACTGACGTTGGTTTGGATTTCTCTATTTTGAAAATTAATATAAAAATGGTATAATTTGAACTTTTAAATATTTTAAATAATTTGAAACTTACTCTTTTTTAATATAACGACAAAATTGCATTAAAAATCCAGACCTGGCCCAATAAGCTCACAGATGACAAAGCCCATAAACCAAACTGGCTATAAAAGGATTCCCGCCCCTTTCAAATTCGCTCCCATAGCGGGAACGAGCCTTGCATCTGAAATTTTGCAGTAGTTAGATCTTCGTTGTACTACTTCATGATGATAGTTCGAGGTTTTATTCTTAAAGATCGAGTGTGAAATGTCACACTCATTTGATCTTTCTGTACATATCGATCTTTTCTGTCTTTTTTTTACAGCCAAATTCGTTCTGTCAATTTCTGATTGCTCGATCTTGTGTGCTTTACTTCTTGATCATTAACTTCAGTTTGATAGGGTTTCAAATTTGCCCGTCTGTAACTGGAATTACTTTTGCTCTCCGTTTCTGAATTCAGTTTTCTGTTGTAATAGAGTTCAATGTTAAGATTCTGCTTCTATTTGCTTTGATTCCTTCAAAATTGTTTCGATCTCTATGGATTCAACACCTTACTCTGTTCTCCTGAGCAAAGACGTATGCGGACTTTCTTTTGTAATCGAGAATGTCAACCTTATAGAATTCACACGATTGAGAAAATACGATTATCTTGTTACATTACAATATAATCATCACCAATCCGCTAAAGCATCACAACTTCCTATTTCTAATTTGTCGCACCAACAGATAAGGTTTTTGCTTTAGGTAGTTGCAAACCTAATATCTTGTCACAATTAGACGATAAGTTTTTTCGTCTGTTTCCAATCGAGCTTGTGAAATATATCTGAATCGACCTCTTTTTGTCTCCCCTGCAGATTAGGTTGGAGATTGCCTGATTGCGTGACCTTGACGCAAGGTACATTTCCTAAACTATTATGCAAGGATATTATATACATATATATTTAAATTAGCTATTGAATTCCTTTGTCGATGATGATTATAAGTTATAATTAAGGTTATGAGAAGTTTCAGTGAGGCTCAGCGTAATTAGAGCGGTGCTATAAAAAAAAAAAAAAAAAAAAAAAAAAAAAAAAAAAAAAAAAAAAAAGAAACTAGTAACCATAAAATGGAAGTTTTTAAGGAGAATTGCAAAATTAGGAATTTGAACTTAATACTGTTTATTAGATTTGATAATCCTTTGTTTACCTTTACATTTCAATAAATAACTAATTGAAAGATATTATGAATAATTTGCATTTAATTATATTCATCTTTTTTATAAATTAAAAAACTAATTATATGTAAACACTTGCATTTTGATATTTCCCATTAAGTTGTCCTTATTTATTAAATTAGTTCTTTTTCAAAAGAACAGAGGTTTTTTGTTCCCTCCATCCCAGCCGAGGATTGAGATGATATTCATTTCGTTAAATTAAATACTTGTATTTTATCTATAAAAAAATACCCTTACATTCTTACATTTCCAATTTAAATTTTTTTTTTTAAAAAATTATAAATTTTTTTTAAACTTCAGATTAATACTTTATTTTAAAAATAACAATTTCAAATTTTATAAATACCTTTAATTTTTTTTTAAATGTCAAAGAGAAAAAAAAAACAAACAAAAATAGTTTTGGTCACAAATTGACGGTATATATATATATATATATTAAAAAAAAACTTTTTTAACATCTTGATTTATGCTATGATGTTAAAAGCTTTTTTTTTTTAATTTAAATTTGATGACAAATACATTTTTTAATTTTTTTTATAAAGGATAAGGGTGTTTACCCTAGTTTTAAAATTTTATGAGCTTTCTTGAACCGAATACTAATTATAAAGGTATTTTAAAACTTTTTGAAAATATCGGTTAAAAAATATCTTTCAATTTTTAGAAATTTTAATAATACTTCCAAATTATAGAATAAAGTTTTTAAAAAATAGTTTTGAAGTTTTAATTTTATTAAGCTTAAACTTTTATTCTTAAATTTTATTGAATCCTAAAAATAAAGTTTTTAAAAAATAGTTTTGAAGTTTTAATTTTATTAAGTTTAAACTTTTTAAAAATACTCATTCTTAATTGAATCCTAAAAATTAAAGAGTGAGATAATAAAAAGAAAAGCCAAGATAGTTTTTTTTTTTTTAATAATGGATGGTAATAATTTTTTAATAAATGTTAAGCATGTTAAGATTATTTTTAAAAATTCGAGTATTTTTTTCAAAAAGTTGAAAAGAGATTCAAGAACATATTTTTAAAACAAACTAGATTTTATAAAACGAAACTACAACAACTTTATAAAACCGTAAAGATATGTTTTAATCATTTTTAAAGCTTAAACCTACTTTGAAAGTTTTTAGGTATTTTCTAAACTAATAAAAGTTCTAATAAAGTTAACACTGTAGATGAATTACAGTTAATTTTGTACGTTTCTTTTATAATTGTATGTTTTAAGCAAAGTTTACTTGACATCTTATTAAAAAATGAATTAAATTTAGAACAAAATTGAACCTAAGATAAAATTTGCAATACATGCACAAGGTTAGAGATAAATTTAATAAAACTATTTTAAAAGAGAAAATGGATACAAATTGATTTTCCTTCACCTATTTACCTCAATATTTAACATATTTTGTTTAGAATCCGGGTGCAATTTTTATTTTCCTGCCGTTGAATAATAGGCTGCGGCAACAATTTAAGCATCAAGAGTAGACGATGTTCATATAAATTCAAGGATAAAGATTCCAGATTAAACAATACTCAAAAGTGTTGAACAAAATATTAATAGCATAAAGATTAAGCTACGTATGATCTCAAATTTAAAAAATAAAACAACTCACAAGTTTATAATCCTGAACTCATTTATCTGATCTGCTAAACCATGGATTTATTCTTTGTTGATAACATTAAATTTTTTTTTATATATAAATGCTAAGGAATGACTACTGGTGGAATCTCTCAATTAATTAACAAACTATAGTTGGAGTTTACTAAAAATTTCAAACCAAAGTTGGAAATTAAGAAGAGAAAAGAAAGAAGATTTGGATAATAGACGACGAACCTATCCTATTCAACGAATTTACATTCTATTAACAACAGAGAGAGTATGACAATGAGTCATTTAATTATCTGATATCGAACTGGACGGACAGATAAATGAACGTAAAACTACTGGAAAAGCGACTAACCTCGAATAGAAACTCGGGCAAATTGACTGTGATCATACCATATGATGATACAATGGTTGAATGCTTTGTTCCACAACTTCAAGCAATTCTTGTCTCCGTCTGCAACTCTGAAAAAGAAGTAAAGATGACTTCCTAAACGACTTGTGCTTCTGCTCTTACTGCTTCCAATATACTATCAACCCACCTGCATTTCAATCATCACACGTTTGTAAATTCACATTTTGTCTATTTGATCTATTGTAAAGCATGGAATCTCAATTATGAAAATAAATGCATCAACTAAAGATTTACTATTATTATTGTTATTCTTATTATTATATCCGTGATTGTCTGAATCAGCTTGAGTGCATCTCGTCTCGACTAATCTAATAGTACAATAGTCTGACCCTACCATATTTGGTTGGTAAAAAAATTCTAGGTAGGTGGTTACCAGGAACTCAACTACCAGATCGTAAAGTAAAAGTATGGAAAAACTCACCCTTCGAGGCCAGGATTCTTCGGGTAGTAAACGTTTTTCAATCCTAATCTTTTTGCTACTGCTGCAGTTGTTTCCCCAATACAGGCAAGTGAATTTTCCCACTCCTTTGGCTCTGATATAAGATTGATCCATGCGCTGTTGCAACAGATTCGTGATCCATGAGATGGAATGAACTAATTGATATTACAAATTCTCTTGCACTAGGGAGAGAACAAGTTTTGACCAAATAGTACAGGTAATATGTGCAGAAATAAACTGGTGCTTACCGAACTGCAGAAGGTGAAGCCACAGTGACAACAGGCAACAGAAGTGCTTGCTCGAGAATGGATTGATCGACATAATCAACGGGTGCCTGAAAGATACCAGGAATAATTATGATGCCTACGAAGTTAATTGCCTTTGAAACATATATTCTTTTCAGTCTTCATTCAGGTTACTGAGAGTACAGGAACGAACAAGGTGTTACGATTTAAGACTCCCATGGGTTTGAAAATGTGTACTACAGAATTGATAAAAATTCAAGTATAGTCCAACGAACCTCTTCAACGAGGGTCTAAATTTGGTTCGGTTTAAATTTGAAGCATACAAGATATTTATCAAGAACATATGATCAAGTTGATGAATACGCCTCTAAAAATCAGTGTGGCATGTTTTTAAATTTGTGGTGTACAAGATAACTTTACCGTAGTGTATGTATTAAGCCTCGTGACCTCAAATCCACGATTTGCAAGACCCTCCTCTGAAGATTGCAAAAGGGGATACCAGGGTTATATTTCTCAAAGCCATTATTTTGCTTTCAGTTAGAACAGACAGAACAATACTAAAGCAGCATACTAGTGCTACAATGAGACGAACAAGTACTAAAACTTCAATTTTCCTTTTTAAAGTAACTGATAAAAGAACTCGTTCAAGTCGGCCACTTCATACTTGCAACCGGATCACTTAACATTAGAATTTCAAGTCACAACTACAGTTCGCATAAATTAAGTGTACAAAAGAAAACATAAATGTTGAATAAAACTGAGGCTTGCCAGTTCAGTTTTCCAACTGTTAGTAAAGGATAAACAAAATTTGGAGCAATGGGGAGGAATGTATATCTTGTAAATAATAGTGGCTTGTTATCATTAATAATGACTAAGCTAAACTATAATTGCAATCGATTTAAAAATTCTCACCAGGTATTCAAAATCGATTTTAAGATTTCCTACCAAGGTTCAAATTACTCATAGCCCTACTATACGTTAGTCGAATATGCATATACTTTACATACACGAAGAGAAATCAGTCTGCATATGAAATATGAGCTATAGCTAGAATAAATGATTTTAGCAATACAAGCCCACATCTATCTAGTTTCAAGCACACTATCTTGTACACATTATAAGTACTTCTATAAATAACTTCCTCTTCCTTGGATTTCTTCGGACCAAAAGCTACTTATGAAGTGATAAGAATAGAACACAGAGACTTGGCAGTTATCCACACTACTAATTTTGCGTGAATTTAAGGTATAGAGATGTCCGAACTCATTTGTAGGGAATGCTATTATAAATTTTTCATCTGATTAGAAGTATTTTGAAAATTTCAGTTGTGGAAATTAGGTTTACTCATCTAGGTAAAATTGGACTAATTACAAAGAGTAGCTACTTAAGTAAACCTTAGACAATTGATAGCTGAAAGCCAGCCCATGAACTGTGATGCAACAATTTAGTAGCAATGCTTCCAGTGCAAATAAAATGCCTTATGGTTATGGCATGAGGAAACACGAGTAACTATTTTAATAAATAAATAAATAAAAGAAACATCATTGTTACCACATTATCTAATGGAAAATAGCCTCAGAGTGTAGAAGAAAAAGAGTACATTGCATACCGATATCGTTGCTTGCTTTAGTGGAAGCAGGATACAAGACACTGCACTTCGTATTCCCTAATTTTGGAAGCTCGTAAGCCAAGACCTTGCCTATTGCTGAAAGATATAATAGATGAAAATAAAATTCAAATTTTGATATTTGTAGGACAACGATGTATTTCTGTAGAAGGATTCTAATCCAAATCAAATGCAGATGCCTACACACGTAATATGAATAAGAAATCTACAGTGTCCTCCCAAAAAATAGTGAAATTACAAATACCTGCCAAATTGTGATTGTTGAACAACAATCATAACAGAGACATAATTGAAGATGAAAAACTACTAGAACAAGTACCATCTAAATCATTTGACATATTTTTTCACGTTGTGTTTTAAAGTTCTGATGTTCCAAACAACAACAGTTTTTTTCAAGGCCTTATCATCATCTGATTTGAATTAAGACAGTTTGTAAATGATATAGGCAAAAGACTAATAACATCATGCAAACAAATACTATCTGCAAATAATGAATATCATGTGTCAGGCATGAGACATGACTTGACATGTGTATTACCTTTTGAAGGTGCAAACGCCACATCAAGTTGTTGTTTTGACGATTGCAACACTTCCTCAAAAATGTTAGCTGTACCAGCTCCCACGACACCTATTCTGACTTTTGGCATTCCAGCGGCCCTAAGGACAAAAAAATGCGAAGGTATCACTTAAGGATGACCTAAGGCAGCTCTAAAGGAAAAATAAGATGTGAAAGTATCGACCAATCTTTAATTGGTACGCATGTCATTCATAAACATAGAGCACCGTGGATCATGGTTATATAGAAGCAACAATGCAAAATACAATTCAACAGAAAGAAACAGATGACCAATAAAATAAAACTCAGAAACATGTTTTAACTCACTTGACCAACAACGCATTCCAAATTGAATGAAAAGTTCATGTACCATGCAGGCATACAGGTTGAAAGTAAAGGCCTTAACAATGCACTCAATGGTGTAAAATAATTTATCTTATCTGATGGTACTAGTATAATAATTCATATTATCAAATGGTAATATGGTGTTGCCATGGGCTGGATCATCTGTAACTTGAAATAAACTGTCCATAACTACGCAAATTTTAAAGAGCTAGATCAACTGGAATGACGAGTATGAATTTCTCGTCCTAACACCTCTACCAAAAAAAAACAAGTTTCACAATTGCTAGTATATGACATAGGAAAATTTTTCAAAAAACATATTTTAAAAACCTCGAGAAACTTCAAAGCTTGCAAAGATCTAGGAATATTGACCACCTGTCCATAAGAAAAATTGACATTTGACACTGTGTGACATACAAGACTGGTGAGAGTCTAGTGAGTTAGTTCTAACCCTTACTTCCATGCCTCTAGGAACACCAAGCCAGCTTCAGGGGATGTTATAACAATCCAGTCAAACACAGAATCTGTTAATGAAGAACAGAAGAAGATTGTAAAGGCTTGTGCCATTTTCTAGTCTTCAAAATATCCTGTGCTACATTGAAATTACTAATAAATACTACTGTTAAATAAATGCCAGCAGAAACACTCCTGCAAGATTATGCGGGTGCGTGCTTGAGAAGGAGAGAACCGATTCCTTTCAACAAGAATAGTGAGATCTTTGAAGGAGTACGAGAAGAGAGACCCAATCTTGAAGGACTTACCACTAAGTACAGACTGTAGTCTATTCAAGTCAGGTCCTTGTCTGTGTTGAATGAGGGGAAGCTCCAAACAGTTTATTCCATGTTTTGCCTGTCATCAACATCAGGAATTTCAATATGCTCCAGTTTATTGATTTCACATAAAGATTGAATTGTACCATTCCATGCACGCAAAAACATCAAGGCCCACCACTTTTTCTTTCCCATTATTTTAACTTCACGAAAGGTCTATAATACAATAGGCCAATGAAATCAATGATACAAAAGGGAAATGAGGAGAGAAGCCGTAAAATGCAGGGTATAACATCAGCAACTCTACTTTAAGCAACAATGCGTCCATGTCAGAAATACTTATTCATGAGTGGATGTCTGAATGATAATGAACAAAAGCTCAAGATAAACCATCACGGCTATTCTCCATCCTAAACACTATTTATTCTTGATTAACACAAAAGATCAGTTCTCTGGCTGAAAAACTATGTGAGTCTTAGCAATTAACAGGATTCCATTCAAATATTCCACCTATTAAAGCACGAACACCATGCAAGTACAATGTGCATATTGGAAAAGAGAACACCAATATTTTTAATATCAATGCTTCCTAAGATTGCTATTGCAGAGCAGCTATTACGAATAAGCTATTATATCAAAAAAGGAATCGAGATTAACAAGTAGTTTACAACCGCGTGCAGCTCAGGAATGGTTCACTGTAGTCCTGACACTCCTAGTGTACCTAAGAACTAATATATAACTCATATTGAGGCTATTCACGAGATCAGCTGATTCGATTTTAGAGGCGTCCTTATCTGACGACTGGTGATAGAAGATATTTTACTTTCTGGAAAACGAAAACTACATTGGTGCTTAAAAACCATTACAGTTTCAATTTACGCAATGTCAAGAATCGTCCACTAAAGTATGCGTTTGTTGTCTCCTAAAAGCAATATTCCAGCAAGAGTAAAAGTAGCAGTCAGTCTCAAAATGATCAACCATTTCGGAAAGATCTCCACGATCGGTAAAGAACTTGAGAAGGCAAAAATGAATCAAAACACTCAAACAACCAGCATTCATTTCAACATTTACTCAAACGCATAAACTTACTAATCGCACCACCACATTAATTCAATACACGAACACAATGCCTCAGTAGAACGAAAATCTAACTCGCGAACAAGAACAAAACAAAAATAGGCTCGAGCAATCAACGAGAATATAACAAATCAACAATCCGAACAAAACAACCTCAGATTACAAAATCAAGAAATTACCAGAGCACTAACGAGCTTCCCATTCTTGCCGCGCTCTCTGGTAACAACAACTTTCGGCGGCGAAATCGAGGAAGACGTAATCGAAACAGAAGAAATTGAAGTAGAGGAACAAGAAGGGAGCGTTCTAGGAGGAAGTAAGATTGGGCAAGAGAGTTGCAGACTTGGAGAAGGAAGAAGAAGAACTGAAGGCGAATGAGAGAGCAAAGAGAGAGAAACTGGAGCCATGGGGAAACGTGTTGATCGGAGATGAAAGACTGAGGATGGGCAGGCCAGATGTTAACATAATAAGGCTCATGACCCAACTAATTAATAATATTATAATCGAAATTAATGCCACGTTTCAAATCCCCATTGGTTTCCAGGTTTCTGTTCCATCATAATGCGCTGGGGAGGACCACACCCAATTTTCTGCCGAACCCGAGATTATTACCCTTTAAAAAGAATAATAAATAAATAGAGAATATTATTATTGATGTACGAAATTAAAATTACGAAAAATGGTCGGTCACTTTTTGATTTGCGTCCCAATTGCCCGGCCAAACCTTGGGTTGTTGTGCGTCCCGTAATTGGAACACATGCCAGCTCAGAATCTTCCCGCCCTGCCCGGCGGCGACTCTCTTTACACTACATCCGTAATGATTAAACGGTTAATATTTTAATTACAGCCACAATTTTTGTTGTTTTTTATTTTCTAAAATTATTTTTAATTTTATATTTAATAGAGTAACTTTAATTCTTTTTATTTAAGAGACACATTAAATAATTTCTTTGGAAAAAAATCGTATTTTATCCAAATATATATATATATACTCCTAAATTTTTAAAAGTTTAATAATAACTTTGAATATTAAAAAAAAACCAATAATATCATTTTTCTTGGTTTCTCTCAAGTCTCTCTTTTTCTTCCACCGTGGATTGTAATACATCAACGAACTCGTGCTCCACCAAGTCCCACAGCTTCTGTGATTTGAGCAAGGTCTTCACTTGATGCTCCACCACTCATATTTCTCACTGCTAAAAATTGGCAGCTATTTTTGTTTTTCGAAAAAAAAAAATACAATCACGATTACTTTCATGGTTATTTTCTAAGATTTAATTTAGTGCCGGATTGGTCCATGAAATTTAACATACTCATATTACTACTCCTCATCATTCTGAGAGACTAACTTATTTACATGCTTAACCATGAAGTTTCTATGATTGAGCCACCAAAAAAGGAAAAGAAATATGAATCTTATTGGTGAATTTCAATTCTTTTAAGTTTTTCTTAGTAATCGTATTATTAAATCGTTTTCATTTAGATGTGATATTGATTCATTCGTGTATTCCTCCTTTACTTAAGCGTCACCTAGAATTATTTTTCAAAGATTAAAATGTTGTTTTAAAATTAAATTAAAAGGATGGGTTATTTATGATTACATTTAGCTAAGTGTTATGGAAACCCCACAAAAATTATCATTTGTAGTCGAAAACAAGATTATTTCTAATCCCCTTTCCAATTCTAGTAATAATGTGTTAAAATTAAGCTGAAGTATTCTAGAGAACTCCATTTATTTTGAATTAATGTGTATATTTTATTTGAAAGCCTTAAAGGTTGTGTCACGTTTCCATCTTATACCAAACTCCATTATTGTATATTCTATACCAAAAATGCTCTCTCAACTTATTATCATTATTATTGTGATTACTTGAAAAAGTAGAAAGAAAAAAAAAACGATTGTGGATACGCACGGAATGCATTAGTGACTCGAACAACTCGAATAAAGTTCACAAACCAACCCCTTATGCTCAGATTGAATTGGGTTAACATCAAATATCAAACATTCACAAAACACTGCATTGCTAACATCAGTTCCAAACATTAAATAATCTTAATCTATCTGAATTTTCAGTTTTCCAAAAATTAAAAAACAAATAATAATAATAATAAAACCCTTTATGGTAAGATCTGATAGTCACCTAAATTAGTCAAGTTCTCGAGCCATTTGAATATCTTAGATGAACTACGCTAGGTAATTCAAATGTCTAGTCTAAAAATTACAAGAAACATAAGCAAATTATTAAGCACTTTTCCTAATAAAAAAGAAAGAACTTAGACCAAAAGAAAAACAAAACATCATTAATAGATCCATATAGTAACGTTAAAAGAATCAAACACTTGAATCATACAAGAATAACATATAAAAATCAACTCAAAGAAACTACAAACAAATAGGCATTTGAAAACCATTTGATTGATAATCATTCCCAAATCTTGCAGGCGCCAATAGCCATATCCTTTTAAAACACACACTTCAAAAGTACTCCCAAAACAAAGCAAAAGAACAGGACAAGGAGACAAGGACACAACAACAATCGGAATCTTATCTATGTGATAATGTCTGAATAGCAAGCGCAGAACAATCTTAGCTAAAGCTACAAGCCCCATAACATTATATTTTCTAACAAACATTTTCGAGTACCTTATTAGTTCTAGCAGTCTCAAACGAATAGTTAGTAGATCATATTCTACATAACCCGGTCCATCAAAATTCGGTTTCGCTCCATGGTGGAGGGATTTATAGAAAACCTCGCGAACAAAGTTGAACATTCGGAAATGTAGCAACTTTGTCCATTATAGATAGTGAAATCCTACAGAGAAACGTAGAAGATTTACCGACCCCCAGGCTTCAAATGGGACAATTGCCTTTATTAGAACAAAGGATTGTTTCCTCTACCTTCCAATCAGCTCACTTGCTGTTGATGGGTACCGTACATAGGGTAAGCTCCATATGATGCTGCAGCATACATGGTTGGTGGATCATAAGGTAACGGCATTGCGTATCCATATCCCCCATACATCTGCCCTCCATAGTAGGCGGCTCCACTCCACTGGTTACTATAATCAGCTCGGTGCTGTCAAATGAAAAGCACTTGTTTAGATAATTGATTATTGAGATAGAAATCTAAAATGCTGGCCCACCAATATTTCGAGTACTTTGAAGCAACTAAATACATAGACATTGTGAGACCCCACGTCAGTTGGAGAAGGAACGAAACATTTTTTATAAGGGTGTGGAAACCTCTACCTAGCAGATGTGTTTTAAAACCGTAAGGAGAAGCCCGAAAGGGAAAGCCCAAATAGGACAAAATTCGTTAGTGGTGGGTTTGAGCGGTTACAAATGGTATCAGAGCATGACGAGCGGTGTGCCAGCGAGAACGCTCCCACATTAGTTGGAGAGGAGAACGAAACTTTCCTTATAAGGGTGTGAAAACCTCTCCCTAGCAGACGCGCTTTAAAGCTTTGAAGGAAAACTCAAAAGGGAAAGTTCGGAGAGGACAATATTTGTTAGCGGTGGATTTGAGCTGTTACAAATGGTATCAGAGCCAGACACTAAGCAGTGTGCCAGCGAGGACGCTGGCCCTTAAGGAGGGTGGATTGTGGGATCCCACATCAGTTGGAGAGGGAAAGCTGGGTTTGGGTGTAAAAATGTCTCCCTAGCAGACGCGTTTTAAACCTTGAGGGGAAGCCCGAAAGGGAAAGCTGTTCAAAGCTGGGTTTGAGCTGGTGCACCATCACCAAGAAAGTTCTAAGTATTTTCCCTTCTATTTCCTTCCCTCATATTTACGGTACATCTGAATGTAATAATAATTTATGTGGGTTGTTTAGTAAATCTTGGAATTATAATTTGACAGGGATTCGTAGTTTTTCCACTCGAAGCAGTTTCCAAATCTAGAAAACAAAGTACTTATGTGTCTCAAACGATTTCACGCACACACGCACACGAAAACTACCTGCTTATTCGCAGGACTGCGCCCCCAAGAAAGACGTACTGTTTGCTTGCCAATTTCAGTTCCATTTAATTTCTGCAATGCCTCTTCAGCATTCTTTCTGCACAGCAGAATTGAAGGATGGTTGAGCAATTCAAATAGACAAAAACTAGAAAAGCTACCCTTTGAATATGGTCGAATGAGTCACAGCCATGAAGTTTTACCTGTTTGCAAACTGAATAAATCCACAACCTTTTCCAATTGGTATCTTAACAGATACAATGTCACCATGCTGAGAAAATAGTTGCCTAAGATCGTCGTCCGTAACATTCGGATCAAGCCCTCCAATGAAAATCTTTACACATATTCCCCAAAACCAAGACAAATAGAAATAGAATAGGAAGAACAAAGAGAAAATTAGCAAGGTAATGACGTTCGACATTATGAAGACAACATGAAGTAACCCAACTTACAGTTGTATTTGTAGAATCTCCATCAGACTGGTGTCCATGGGTGAATGAGCCATTTGATCCATATCCTAATACCAAGACAATATAAAATTATAGCTGAAGTATGAACAGCTTAATTTGCCAAGGTCAGTCCTGGTATACTTATAAAATTACACAGAAACCTCAACATAGATGTGAAGTTTCAATGCCCTTTTAAGGACATTGATGAAATATTGACTCAAAACTATGGAAATAAATGCAAATAAGTTTTGTGTACCTTGTGAAGAATATTGATGTTGATATCCAGAGGACTTTTTGGGCGTTGCCGCACCAATGCGCATAGGCCTGCTTGAGCAATATACGCCATTCATGTCAGTCATGGCCTGAGACCTCTCGTTATCATCACCAAACCTCACAAAACCATAACCTTTTGAACAACCAGTATTTGGATCATAGACAACTTTTGCTGCTTTGACAGATGAATATTTACTAGCAAAAGTTTCCTGTAGTATACTATCGGTAACATCTGCTGCTAAATCTCCGACAAAAATAGAAAGATCAGAACCCTTTTCTGAACGCTTGTCACCCGTGCTAGATGTTGCCCAGTTTAACCGGAAAGTAAGCTCGGTATTAGGCATCAAAACTGTAGAATAATTATGCAGAACTTTCTCTGCTGTTGTATGAGATAAAAATTCTACAAATCCATAGCCTTCAGATATACCAGTTTGCTTATTACGAATGACTTTAATGGAAGAAACCTGCATATCATAGTAATGTAAAGCATGGGACATACGAAATATGCTTAAAGCGGAGATGATAAAGACCGTCAAGAAAAAGAACAAAAGACAACAAACAAGTAATCTCCTAGAGGCTTTCTTTTGATAGATTCTCTTCTCGAAAATGAAACAACTGAACACAAGGAATATGCACAATATAAAAGACGCAAGAGACACAAGCGAACAAGGACCACAATACAACAACTTGGTCGGAACCGTATCGTACTTTATTGAAGAATAACATATCAAAATACTACCATTTACAATCATTAATAAATATCCGTGG